GGCTAGATCGGCCACAACAAGGTACATATAAAGATGTTCTCCAGGGTCAGCTTTTGTTAAGACCAGGGGAGAAGATAGATACAACTTGAATTCCTCGAAGGCCGCTTGGCATTCGGCAGTCCATTCAAAGGGGTTTGCTTTTTTCATGATCTGGAAAAATGGAATCGCCCGATCAGCCAGTTTGGACAAGAATCTGCTAAGGGCTGCCAACCGACCGGTCAATCTCTAAACCTCCTTCAGGTTTCTTGGAGCCTCCATTTCCATGACCGCCTTTACCTTCTCAGGATTAGGCTCAATGCCCCTCTCACTCATCATGTATCCAAAGAATTTGCCCCCTTAACGGCAAAGACACATTTTTTGGGGCTCAACCTCATCTTCGCTTTCTGCATTATCCCGAACACTTTTTCTATGTCCAGGACATGATTCTTCTTTTCCCGGCTTTTGATCAGGATGTCATCAACATAGGCCTCCATTGTGACTCCCAGTACTTCTTTGAAAAGCATTCCAATCATCCTTTGGAAAGTAGCCATTGTGTTCTTCAACCCGAATGACATAACAATATAGCAAAATACCTCGTCCGAAGTTACAAACGCTGTCTTTTCTGCGTCATTTGGGTGCATGAAAATTTGATGATACCCCCGGAATGCATCCATGAAGCTCAATAATTCACATCTCGCCGTCTCATCCACTAACAGATCGATCCTCGACACCGGATATGGGTCCATGGGACAAGCCTTATTTAAGTCAGAATAATCTACACACATTCTCCAGGTGGACCCCTTTGGGGCTAGTACCACATTGGATAACCACTCAACATGGATCACCGGACGGATGTGTTTTATTCTAAGCAATGTGGCCACTTCTTGTTTTGTAAAATCACGTCGTTCGGTCGCCTGGTATCTTTTCTTCTACTGAACAGGCTTGGCATCTGATCGAACGGCCAGCTTGTGGCAAATTATGTCTGTAACACCCCGGCCCCGTAGGTCCCGAGGTAGTTACTTCTGACCTCTAGTACTGTCCTCACAAACCGCCACTAGCCTTTTCCGCGCACTTTGTCCTCACTCGTGCGCGCCCTGAGAAACTTCCCAGGGGGTCACCCATCCCAAGACTACTCCCGTGCAAGCACGCTTAACTTTGGAGTTCTTGGCTAATGAGCTCCCTTAAAAGGAGATGCACCTCTGTTGGTATGAGTAGTACTATTAATCCGTTTAAATTAAATCTCAAGTGTTACAATCACCCCCACTTAGGAACGCAACGTCCTCGTTGCGCCCATCAACCAATCTCAATCAAATCCCAGAATCTTTTCCCCCGCTAAGTGCCTGCCCGATATCCAACGGATCAGCACACTGTCGCAGGGTTGCTCTGATACCACCTGTAACACCCTGGCCCCGTAGGTCCCGAGGTAGTTACTTCTGACCTCTAGTACTGTCCTCACAAACCGCCACTAGCCTTTTCCGCGCACTTTGTCCTCACTCGTGCGCGCCCTGAGAAACTTCCCAGGGGGTCACCCATCCCAAGACTACTCCCGTGCAAGCACGCTTAACTTTGGAGTTCTTGGCTAATGAGCTCCCTTAAAAGGAGATGCACCTCTGTTGGTATGAGTAGTACTATTAATCCGTTTAAATTAAATCTTAAGTGTTACAATGTCTGGGTCAATACCCGACATGTCTTCTGGCCCTCGGGCAAATAATACCTGAAACTTTTTTAGTACTGTTACTATACCCTCCCGAATTTCAGCCTCCAGATCCGCCCCGATGGCCACCTTCCGGTCGGGGGGAGAATCTAGGTCAATTTGCTCGAGGAGGGTGGCAGGCTCAGGATGTGCCTCGAACTCCGTTCGGCGGGCTTCGACTTCAATGCTGTTAACCCGCATGCCTCGGGCATTCATGTTTTTCAAGGCCTCCCGATAGCACGTTCGGGCTGTAGTTGGATCAGTTTTGGCCACCTCAACCCCAGTGTTCGTGGGGAATTTGATACATGAGTGGCGGACATAGGCTATCGCCTCCAAATCTTCCAATCCTGGTCGGCCCAAAATGGCGTTATGGGCACATTTGATATCCACTACTACGAACATCATTCAGACCGATGCCTTGTGTGTTTCATCTCCAATTTCAACCCATCAATTGGATGGTCCCCTCTGCTTCGATGCAATTCCCGGTGAAGCTTGCCAGTGGTGTCCTTAGGTGGGTCAGCTGATTTTTCTGGAGGCCCATTTTCTCGAACGATTGCAAGTACAATATGTTCACACTGCTTCCTGTGTCGACCAACACCCGGAGAATTAAAGCATCGTCTATGCACATACTTACAACCAACTCATCCCTGTGTGGACTTGGTGAGTTGGGCAAATCTGCGTGCCCAAAAGTGATGGGGTCCGTTCTTCCTTTCTTCTGGGGTGGCATGGCTACAGAACCCACGTACAGGCTTCGCTCTAACTTCTTCCGTTCGGCGTTCGAGTCGCCTGTCTCCCCACCCGCAAATATCACCTTTACCTCCATCCTGGGCTTTTTACCCGGGTTCCCCGAACCTCCCGGTTCATCTCTGGGAGGGTTATATACATCATTTCTGGGGCGAGCATCACGCTGTACATCTCGCCTTCAGCTGTTGGATCTCTTGACCGGTTTCAGAATACCTGTAGCATTCGGGTCCGTATTTACATATTTACCCAGATGACCCATCTAGATCAATTTTTCAATGGCTATTTGCAATGCCCGACAGGATTGGATGGAGTGACAGTTCCTGTTGTGGTACTTGCAAAAAGCATTTGCATCTGCCCCTATAAAACCTTTGGTGTCAGTCGGAAGGGGAATGTTGTCCTTCTCGTTCTGATAAATGGTTGCTACAGAAAGGACCAAAGGAGTGAATCGTGCCGCTCTTGAAGGTGGAGCGGCCGCTGGGGTAGGACCCAGCCGATCGGCCAGTTTCATTGGGGTAGGGGGTGCAGCTACCTTATCCCTGATCAGGATTTCTTCTTCCAGAGCCGCTTGCTTCCGGGATCTGTCCAGCACTTCAGAATACACCGTACCCGGATTCTTTGGTCCCCACTTTCAGGGTCTCATCCCTCCATCTCTTGAGGAATTGATTGAGGGCCTCCTTTGGGCCCTGCCTGATACTAGTTAGGTAACTGAAATGCCTCTTCGGAGTGGCACTGGAGGCAAACTGGGCCAGGAATAAAGCTGGCAATTCGGCAAAGTTGTCGATCGATCCGGGCTGCAGGGTCCCGAACCATTCCTGGGCAGGCCCCCTGAGCATGCTGAAGAAGAGTCGGCAAATGGCCGCCTCGGATGCTCCCAATAGCATAAGCCCCCCTTGATAACTCCTCAAGTGTCCGTGGGGATCTCCCGCCCCATCATATATCTGACCGACCGGCGGTTTGACATCCCTGTGGATCTCCGCTTGCATGATTTCCCGTGTGAAAGGAGAAGTGATTCCGACCTGAGCTGGAGTAGGTTGCAGAGGGGCTCTGTTCATTTGTTCCCTCATTTCATTTATCTGCCTCCTCATCTCGGCCATTTCTTCCTCTTGGGCCGTCAGGGAGGCGGTGGTGGAGTTCCCAAGTTCACAAACTCCCGATTTGCTTCCGGCAAAGTTGTTCTTTGATTCCGACGTCTCTGCCCGAATCTCGTATTGTTACGCTCTTCACACTGGAACTGGCGGCCAACGGGCGTATCTCCTCTGGCCCGTGACCCGGTCGAGGTGCGGTCACTAGGAGTGTGATGCCTGCCCCTGGTCGTATGAAATCTTCCGCGCTCTCCCCGGTGGGCTCATGAGTGATTTGATGTCATGGTTGTTTCTACATCGGTGGTCTCATCATTGAATGATGGGGTTGTGTACCTAGTTTCCCCGGTGTAGCTGGATTGTCCCCCATCCTGCTCATCCGCCATATGCTGCATGACCTGAGCCAAATCTCGCATGGCATGGAAGTTCCTTCTTAATGCTTCGGGGATGAAAAAATCCCCATCAAAGTGTGGGTAGGATCCTCGACTGGATTGCCTTTGGGGGTCCGGCTTTCCCCACGTCTATCCGAAGTTTCTCCGGTGTGATGAGAAGTAATTCTAACCATTTTGAAAATAGCTTTTGTTTGGTGTGAAACTTTTTGTTCAGAGTTTCCCACAGACGGCGCCAATATTGAGGTTTAATCCCGTAGATCCGAAACCCCAACACAAACTTTGGATATATCAGGAAATGAGACGATAATCCAATGTATAAAAGAAATATAAAAGATGATATCAACGAACACTCAAAGCCCACTTGTATTAAGTAATTTGACTATTACACTGTAAACTACCCGAACGGTATGTCGGAATAGTAACTAATACAAGAAATCAGAGAGATGATGCTATTCTAGGCTTGAGTATCAAAATGCTAACCTTTTACAATGAAAACTAATCCTTCTATTTATACTAATGAGGGGTATGAGGTACTTCATGTTGATTGGTTGTTTTGTCTAGCCACTTGGAACCCATGCTCCCACTAACTGCCGACATACTTCAGCAATAAATTCTCTCTGCCACTTGTTGGCCACCCGCTGCCCGAACGGGCAGTGGACCCTGCTGGAATCTTCGTTGATCTGGCTCAAGTACACTGGTTGATCCGAACCCCGTTCGGTACATTGACAATCTGGCCCATTAATGATTTGGCCCATTAATGATCTGACTCAAGTATGTGAACCGATTCGAACCTCGTTCGGTACATATTTTCCAAAGAGCTGGTTCACTTTCTGGATGATGGGCCCGTCTATCGGACTGGATATCTTGGGCCTTGGATCCGGGTATTGGGCCTGTAACCCAATATCCCAACAAGCGGGCTAGGATGTTAGCCTTAAAAGTCCCGTGTTTTTCTCCCTTTCGGGTTTCCACGTAAAAATCGAGTGTTATACCATATTATATTTATATTTATTAGTTTATGTTGGACTTAAACTCAACATTGACACCATCTGTGGAAAAAGATCAAAAAGCGTAACAACGTGTTCTTGATTTTACTGATTTTGATTCGAAGAAGAAATGATTTCAGCAAGAAACGAAGGAAAGAATGACTCCAGAAAAATAGAAGCAAAAGCAACTGGCAGTGGTGTTCTAAGATTTCCAAAAAGTAGTCGTAGCAGGGGTTCACGGACCACCAAAGTTTTTGCAGGCATCGATGCTTGGAGGAGGATACACCGTGACCGCCAGCCGGCGCCAGGAAGAAGCTAGGAAGAGGGACCCACGTACTCACTGATTGACGTAAAGGAGAGCAGTCTCATGCTTTCACATGGAAAAACCTGACAACACTATTCATGATTTGACAGGTGAGTTCTTATCCAAAAGCTAGTATCCCTTCCCAAACGAGGACTCCCCGGACAAGAATCCCATACAGCCATGCTACCAGATCACCCACCCCACAGCTCACGCGGCCTCAACCACGAGCCAAGTAAAATTCCTACTTCTAGTAGGGCTCGGCTCATGACCCAAGCAACAACATGGCAGCAACATCAGAAGTCTTCCACCCCGTTTCCACCAGCAATTCAAACCAAACCAGCACGAATGCCGGTCAGAAGCTTCAAAACTCGAACGAGCAGTAACATGCCGTTCAGGAACTTAGCATGCGGGCAGACTTCAAGGGAATGAGGACCTCCTTCTCAACCGTTTCCACCGGATGAATTGCAGATGTCCAGAGCACTAACATGATCTTGCAAGACTCTGCTCATCCAGATTATGTATAGAAGTTGGGGAGGATATGGGTCCCGAACGGGAAACTCCCTACATTGACAAAAGGAATTGCGTACTAACAAATTTGGGGAGGATATGGATCCCGAACGGGAAACTCCCTACATTGACTACCTGTATGGGAACAAACAAAGCCTGAACTAAAGTATTTCCAAACCAGTGTATCCGATGATAGTGCCGGTTGGTGAAGCTCGAACGCCCTACACCGCTCCCGTTCAGGAGAGATCCTTCTAGCAGAACGAGTTTGATCTTGAACGGTCAGTTTTACAAGATCCCTGATACACCTAGGTACCAAACGTACTTTTCGAGCAAGTACTGGCTCCGGATTAACGCACTTCAAGTGTACGCAACTCCAAATTCCCAGCCTAACGGCAAGAATAAACTGTGTTTTATTTTCTAGATGATCTCCCAAAAACAACAGTGTAGGCTATTGTTTGCTACAAAAGTAAATAAGGAAAATACATAAATGAATTAACTAAAATAAAGTGATCTGATGGCCATAGATTTCTCCTTTCCGTGCATGGTTTTCTGCCACCTTATTCCCCCAAAGAAATGAGCTGAATCTTCTCTTAGCCATAAATAAATGACGGGTCTTGATTTGCTTTCCTTACTCGTGTGGTGCGCCTTATTTGATTTGGAGGTGATCCTCTGGTTTGATTGATTGGCGTATCATCCCCTGCGGCTTGAGAAACCACCTCGTCCACGAGGTGAAAATCTGGGTAATGGTGGGTAATCGTAGTGCTTGGTTCCCAAGTCGCATCCTCTGGTCCACCGTCACTCCACTGAACCAACAACTGATCTTCCAGCAGGCCGTGTCGAAGGACCTGTCTTCTGTCAAGGATAGCACTAGGTGCTGACACAGGTTTGCCATCTTCAAATGCTGTTGGTAGGGGAATTATTTTTGGAGCACCATCCCCCTGGAATCGTTTTAATAAGGAGACGTGGAACACGGGATGAACCTTTGCTGTATCTGGGCGTTGGAGACGATAAGCCACAGCCCCAATGCGCTCCGAAACTGGAAATGGCCCATAATAGCGACATGCAAGCTTCTGATTTTTGCGCCATGCAATGGAACGTTGGCGGTATGGTTGGAGCTTTAATAATGCTAAGTCTCCTACCGCGAATTCCAGCTCCCTCCGTTTCCTATTTGCTTTCTCGGTCATACTGTGTTGGGCAGCTCGGAGATTTGCGCGAAGTGAACGAAGTAAGAGTTGTCGGTCCCGTAACAGCATGTCCACGGTCTGCACATTGGTGCTGCCGGGTGAGTAAAAAGGGATAGTCGGAGGGTGGCGGCCATACAACGCACGAAAAGGTGTAGTCTTGAGGCCTTCATGAACGGAAGTGTTGAGACAGTATTCTGCCCACCCGATGAACTGTCTCCACCGCGACGGTTGAAGGTGTGTGAAAGCATGCAAGTACTGTTCAATGCCACGGTTGGTTACCTCGGTCTGTCCGTCTGTTTGGGGATGGTAAGTGGTGCTATGTTTGAGGGTTGTGTCGCTTAACTTAAAGAGTTCCTTCCAAAAGTTACTCAAGAAAACCCGGTCTCGGTCAGACACAATCGAGCTTGGAAACCCATGTAGCTTAACCACAATATCAGTGAATAGCAGTGCTGCTTTAGGCGCATTAAAATAGGTCGGTAAACAACCCTAGATGAGTATATTTAGTAAGGCGATCCACAATAACCATAATTACTGAATATCCTTGAGACATTGGTAGCCCGGTTATGAAATCCATCGTAACATGATCCCAAACCTGAGATGGCACAGGGAGCGGCTGCAGCATTCTAGCCGGAGGTTGCGTGGAATATTTTGTGGTTTGGCATACCATACATGACGCCAAAAAATTCTCAACATCTGTTCGCATCTTTACCCAAAAGAAGGAAGCGGTGAGTCGAGCGAGTGTGAACTTGACTCCAGCGTGACCCGCCATAGGTGTAGAGTGAAACTCTCGGAGGAGTATTTGCTTGAGAGGAGAGAACACACTTATGTAGTAACGAAGCTTGAAAAATAAAACTCCATCCTTGATGTGTATGTGTGGTAAACACTTGCCGTCTCCCAACTGCTTATGGATGTCTAACAAGTCTGGTTGGTCTTGGTTTTCGCGCCGAATATCCTCCAATAATGTTGGGACGGGTTGACAAAGTGCCATAAAATGAGCATGAGCTGAGAGATCGTCAGTTTCATCACGTCTCGAGAGGGCATCAGCGACCTTGTTAGAAGACCCGGTTTTATATTCAATAGTAAACTGATATCCCAAAAGTTTGCGCACATATAACTGCTGTTCTGGAGTCTGAATAACCTGCTGTAACAATTCTCTCAAGCTTTTATGGTCAGTCCGAATGGTAAAGATGGTACCTAAGAGGTACTGTCGCCATTTAGTCACTGCTTCAACGATGGCATGGAGTTCACGGACATAAGTGGAGGCAGCCAAGAGGCGTGACCCCAACTTTTTGCTGAAGAACGCAAGTGGGTGTTCTGCTTGCATTAGGACAGCACCAATACCACTGGCCGAAGCATCTGTTTCGACGATGAACGGTAGCGCGAAATCAGGTAAACGTAACACCGGTGCCTGTGTCATAGCCTCCTTCAAGGAGATAAATGCTTTTGTGGCTGCCTCCGACCAGTTAAAAGCATCTGTCCGTAGCAAATCAGTCAAAGTACTTGCAATGGTCGCATAATGTCGTACAAATCGCCTGTAATATCCTGTCAGTCCCAAGAAACCCCGGAGTTGCTTAAGGGAAGTTGGTTGCGGCCACTCTACCATGGCTGAAATTTTGTCCGGGTCGGCATTCATGGTCCCATCTGTAATGATGTGTCCAAGATAATCCACAGATGTCTTGCAAAATAGACATTTTGTGAGTTTAATATAGAATTGTTGACCAGCTAATGTTTCCAGGACAATGCTGAGGTGTTGAATGTGCAGGTCTATGGTTGGGCTGTAGACGAGGATATCATCGAAAAACACTACCACAAACTTTCTCAAATTAGGTTTAAAGAGGTAGTTCATGGTGGCTTGAAAGGTGGACGGGGCATTGGTGAGGCCAAACGGCATGACTAGAAACTCATAATGACCGTCGTGTGTGCGAAATGCCGTTTTAAAAATGTCCTTCGCATTCATACGAATTTGGTGATAACCTGATCGTAAATCCAGTTTTCACTAGTACAAAAAAGGCTTTTCACATCGGTCAAAAAAGGCTTTTCACATCGGTCGAACAGCCGATGTGGTTCCAGCACATGTGAAAAGTATTGACTTTTGACATCGGTCAAACAGCTGATGTTAAAAAAGTTTCTACATCGGTCGTTTATTGTCCGATCTAGAAGATGATCACGAATAGTGACTTTATTTAATGCCCTATAATCCACGCAAAACCGAAAGCTACCATCTTTTTTCTTGACTAACAGGACAGGTGATGAAAAAGGGCTACTGTTTGGTTGAATAATCCCTTGTCTCAGCATATCCTGAACTAACTTCTCCATTTCTGTCTTTTGGAAGTGCGGGTAACGGTAAGGGCGGACGTTGATTGGTTTGGAACTGGGAATGAGATGAATGTGATGATCAAATAGGCGGCTAGACGGCAGCCCTTGTGGTGTCCCAAACACCTTAGCATGGGTATGGAGCAGTGCCAAAATGGTTTCAGGAATGTCGTCTGGCCATATTAAAATGTCCTCACTTTCCAGGAAGTCAGTAGGTTGGGCGACCAATTCAAAACAACCATGAATTTCATCACCTTTCATCAAAGGAAGGAGATGATTATAAGAAATGGGTTTAACTGGCGTTGAATGGTCACCTTGCAAACAAATACGTTGGTTATTCCAATCAAATTCCATGGTAACCTTGGCATAATCATGTGTAACTTTTCCCAAAAGTTGCAACCATTGGACGCCCAATACTATGTCTGGACCTTTGATAGGTAACACGAATAAATCGACAAGAACCAACACATTCTGCAATGTTAAGGGTACCTGAACACAAGCATGAGTGCAACACAGAGAATCACCATTGCTGATGTACACTCGGAATGGAGGCACCTCTGTTACCGGTAAGTGCAATTTTTCAGCGATACCTGGTTGAATAAAGTTATGCGTGCTACCCCCATCGATGAGGACTTGTAAAGTGGCAGTGTGAACTATCCCTGTAAGACGCAAGGATCCGGGCGCGCCTGGGCCGGCCAGAGAGTGAGGCTCGAGCAGTCCGCTGTCAGTATGGGTTCCTCTTCTGCGTGAGTTGTGTCTGAGACAGGTATTAGTTCATCATCCTCGCTGCACATCAAGAGAAGGGCACGGTTAAGGCATTTGTGGATTCTCGACCACTTTTGGTTACAGGTATAGCATTCCCCCTTTTCAAACTTGGCTTGCTTTTCTGGTGGGCTAATTTGGATGATGGGAAGGTTTTTTTGGTGAGCAACGGTAGATGTATTCTGTCGAGCCAAGTTCAAACGGGATGTGTTGGAAGTTGTGGTGAGGGTTGATGGGCTAGGATTAGGACCCATGTGTTGCAACGGTTTGTTAGAGTGAGATGAGGATTTGAAGGATGTGTAGAGGTCTCCATGTTGCGCCTCAATCTCGCTAGCCGGTGCAAAAGCTTGGATTAAAGTGTCTGGTTTGGCACGCTGCACCTCACGTCCAATCGTCGATTGGAGACCGGCGACAAACATTGAGATTAAAATCGTCTCTGGCACCCCTGTGACCTTATTTAAGAGTTTTTCATAGTCTGCCCGATACGCCGCGACCGTCGTGAGTTGCCGAGTCTTGGATAATTTCCCCACAAAATCTTCAAAATGCGCTGGGTCAAAACGCTGCTTTAACTGCTCCAAAAAATCAGTCCATGTGCGAAGAAGGTTATTATTTTTCATCCAACGAAGCCATTCGGAGGCCTCACGCTCCATCATAAAGGACACAAATGAGAGCCGCTGAGCCTCTGAAACTTTATGATACTCAAAATATTCTTGAGCCTGGAAAATCCAATTATGCGGGTCGGTACCGTCAAATGTGGGAAGAGCTATTTTTGGAAGGAGCGTACGAGCAGTTGATATATTGGTGTGATCCATGGAAGAAGGAGTAACAGCAGAGGTCCCTGCAGTGAATTGAAGCTTCTCAATGGTGTGAGCTAAGTCCTGAATGGTACGTTGCAAGGCCTGCGCAGTGTGGTGGTTGTAGGTAGCCTGGTCCCGTAATTCATGGCGAAGTTCGGCAATGGATTTTTCCCAGGTAGGGCAGATGGACTCGTCGGACATGATGGATGCAGCGACGTCAGTGAAAGCACCAGTTGATACACCTAGGTACCAAACGTACTTTTCGAGCAAGTACTGGCTCCGGATTAACGCACTTCAAGTGTACGCAACTCCAAATTCCCAGCCTAACGACAAGAATAAACTGTGTTTTATTTTCTCGATGATCTCCCAAAAACAACATTGTAGGCTATTTATTCTAATGGCCTATTGTTTGCTACAAAAGTAAATAAGGAAAATACATAAATGAATTAACTAAAATAAAGTGATCTGATGGCCATAGATTTCTCCTTTCCCTGCATGGTTTTCTGCCACCTTATTCCCCCAAAGAAATGAGCTGAATCTTCTCTTAGCCATAAATAAATGACGGGTCTTGATTTGCTTTCCTTACTCGTGTGGTGCGCCTTATCTGATTTGGAGGTGATCCTCTGGTTTGATTGATTGGCGTATCAATCCCAAAACCCAGCACCCATTGTTGCGGGGCTACGCTGCTACCCAGTCACCCGATACCATTTGTCCACCGGAACTAACCAGCAAAGGACCGCAGTCCTGGATCAAAGCGACCGCAAGAGGAACCCAACGGGCCAGGTAATGCTGTGAGGTGCGTTGTCGTCTGATTCCCTAAGGAGGTCACCACCATGTATCTACTGTCGCCATAGTACTGCCATTCGGTATCCTAGACCTAGCTAGAACTCCCGAGCGATCCCGGATCCAAGAATGGTGGACCGACAATTCACCCTCAGCAAGCAGCAACACCTTCTAGTGGGCCGGAACTCTCTGAAATACCATCATCAACTCATGCACCAAACGTCATGCCAATCTAGCATGTGATGAGGGAGTACAAATCACTGTGCGACATCCCCCGAGCGGTGATAGAGATCCCGTACGACAACATGTTTCGCCGCCCGAACTTTCCATCGCTCCACCAGACGGACGGAGACCATCCTCTCACTGGGGGTGGGCAAGAAAAACTGTAACCGCTTAACCGTGGTAAATAACCGAAAAATGGTGTTTTTATCGGTTAACCATACCATATTTTTAAAATCATGCGGTACGGTTAACCAACCGATAGAAAAAACGGTTATGATACGGTTACGGTTTTGAAATTAAATACCGCCGGTTAACCGATAATTCAAAGTTAAGTATTACTCCCAAACTTATAGTTACGGTTTGCAAATTAATTCATGTGTCAATTTTAGCCAAATGCTAAAATAGTAAAATTAACTCATTGTCAATTAACTCATCTGTCAAGCCATGGAAGACATATGTCTATCAATGGTCCATCCTAAGTCTTTCTTCGAATACGTGGGTGTTGCAATCAGCACTCAGTAGGCATATCATAGGGGAGATTGGAGGTAGAGATGTAGAAGAGAGCTGGAAGGAAATTAGGAATGAAGGAATCCTTAGGACTATCAGAAATGCCTCGCGAATGAACAGGGCAGGGAAGATATGGCTGAAAATAGTTTTTTATGGTTTTTTGGTTAACCAATTAACGGTTAACCTACATTACGCTAAAAGTTACCCGGTTAACCGTCATAACGGTACGGTGATTGATATTGTAAACATGCTAACCAATATCCCGGTTAACCATAAGTTGGTTAACCAAAAATGCGGTTAACCAACCGTGCTCACTCCTACCTCTCACCAATTGAAGCCATTCGGGAATACCGATCGGGGTTTGATACTGCCCACATTTATACCGACTAAGTGATAGGATTCTAAACTACCAACATAAGGGCTGGATCACCTTGGACGATTAAATTCACCGGAATAATAACTTGGCCCGCCAGCTGAAACTCAGCCCATATCAACTAAGTAACACCAATCTCTCACTCACTGATTCAATTTTAAATAGTTTTTGTGGCTATTATTGCTTTTGTCATCATTATTTATGAGGGAGTAAATAGTCCCTAATTGAGTAATGTGGAGTCAAGCTCTATGTGATAAGCTTACCATCATTTTAATTGATTGGTTTTAGTGGGCCTATCGACCCACCGCCGTTCGGCTTAAGTGAGCGAATCGGAGCATCCTCGTTCGGCATCAAAGGCTCGTGCATTAAAATACTAAATACTAGATAGTTTTATTGTTACTATTTATTGATCACCATTATTTACTAAGGGTTTAAATTTCCCAAGATAAATAATGTCGAGCGAAACTTTGTTGATAAGCTCACCAACAATTTTGATTAAATGATTTGGATTTAATGGGTCGGACGGCCTGCTCCTGATCGGCTGTGATTAAGCAATCGGAGCGCTTCGGGAGGACATGACCCAACGACGCATATGGTCCCGCTCGACATTAAGTGCCCGAACGACAATTTTACCCAGTACAAGGCGAAGTACGTACCTTGATTAGCTAGTACTTTTCTGAGAGCGCCTGGCAAACCACTAAGTGGTTCTAATAGCACATGGGCAGTGCAAAAAATAAATTTAGGCCAAGGGTTATCATACCACTTCGGCCGGTAATCATAAGTATTACGCATGTGTGTATGTATATGCTTGTATATGTAGTTCGGCCGTACAACCGTATTACTATGCTGATTGTGCGGTGCAATCCGTTCGATATGCTCGAGCTGGGAGATCCATGATGTTTGGCATGGTGCGCAGAGACGTTCATGACCGGCAAAGAAAAGAAGCAAAGACATGCGGTATGTTTGATTGGGAAGATCAATGATGTTCGGCATAGTGCGCAGAGACGTTCATGACTAGCAACGTAATTGGAATCATTCAAAGCCATTCGATAGACTCGAGCAGGGAGGTCAACGACGTTCAGCATGAGGCGCAGAGACGTCATGGCTGGGACATTCATGGCCGTTAAAGGAGACCATCATGGCCAAGGGCCGTGAGACGAGCATATTTTGAAGATCGGCCTCGTCCCCGCTCCTCGCGGATGAAAGACCGCTGCACTTGCCGCCGTTGTGCTCATATTATGATCAGCCTTTCGGCACGACATGTTGATCACCCCGAAGGAATCTTCACACTCCACGGAGGGAGACCTATCGCTCGAATGATCTGGACGCTTCTTTGTAGCTCCACGATCGGCCACCCTAGCATGACGTGATCATCATTGTAAGTCCCTAGCACGACGTGATCATCATGATATTCAGCATGATGCACAAGACGTTCATAACCGACCAAGAGAGGAGTTGTACAGGTCGTATGACGCACAAGTTTTCAGGTCACACTCCATGACTAGCATTCCGGTCCCGCCGTTCGGCACTTAGAGCAAGCACCATGGGTAGAGGGCGCCTGTAAGACCCTCACACATTCTTGATCACGGTCGGATCCTCCCACGCCTTTACAGGGGGAGGACCATCGTCTTATGCAGTACGATCGGCCCCTCGGCGCCATCGTATCCAGTTCACAGTCGCGTCCGCCCACACCTTTACATGGGGAGGATCACCGTCTTATGTAGTATAATCGGCCCCTCAGCGCCATCATATCCAGTTCATGGTCGGGTCCGCCCACACCTTTACAGGGGGAGGATCACCGTCTTATGCAGTACAATTGGCCCCTCAGCGCCATCATATCCAGTTCACGTTCGGGTCCACCCACACCTTTACAGGGAGAGGATCACTGTCTTATGTAGTACGATCGGCCCCTCAGCGCCATTGTATCCAGTTCATGGTCGGGTCCGCCCACACTTTTACAGGAGGGATCACTATTTTATGCACTACGATCGGTCCCTCAGCTCCATCGTATCCAGTTCACGGTCGGGTCCCCCACACCTTTACAGGGAAAGGATCACCGTTTTATGCAGTACGATCGACCCCTCAGTGCCGACATCCTGACATCACCACCACCAGCTTTTCAACATGCCTATATTATATGGTGTAAAATCTTGCCTCAATCATTAGCTTCGACGAACCACGACGACTAGTTCAGAGGGCCAACAAACCACGATGACTAGATCGAAGGGTGGAATCCCAGCTTTGATTTTGGAGACGAGTCGCCATTTCCGCTCCACGCATAAATGAACCGTTCCGCATGACCGAACAGGGAAGCTTACGTGTTAGCTTGGAAATGAGGACATCTCAACCATCGGTATGGACAATCTGTATCGAAAAAACCTGAATGGTGGAATCGAAACTATGGTTTGGAAGATGGTGGACCGACAGGTCATGGGCTGACGGGTTCGAGTCTTTCAGAGTCGAGTCTATGGAATACCCCGTCCAAAGGATAGGGGGTCTTACAACCGCGTCCCTAGTGCATGGCATACATGTTTGGACTACCCAAATGTCGCGACGGCTAGTGGAGTGTGACAGTCATCCCCGACCAATTAGTTTGAGTGATCCGTCCAAATCAGACCGGACAAGTAATCTCGGCTAATTCGGTTTGAGCTGGGGAATAAGAGTTCCTTTGTTCTATTGATCACTTTATGCAGTACGAACGACTCTTCAGAGTCGCCGTGCCTACTCACGACTGGGATAGTCTATTCCTAATCTGGGATGGTGACCGTCGTGCAGCACGAACGGCTCCACAGCACTGACGTGCCTACTTATCGGTCGGGCTCGTCCATTCCTAAATCTGGGATGGCGACCACCACTTTAGGCAACACGAACGGTTGGTTCTTCAGCGTCGTCGTGTCTTCTTCTCGACCAGGTCTGCCCATGCCATTCAGGGTCAGGACCGCCGCCTTATGCAGCACGAACGGCTGGCTCTTCATCACCGTCGTGTCTTCTGCTCGGTCGGGTCCGCCCATGCCATTCAGGGTCAGGACCGCCGCTTTATGCAGCACGAACGGCTAGCTCTTCAGCACCGTCGTGTCTTCTTCTTGGTCGGGTCTGTCCATGCCATTCAGGGTCGGGACCGCCACCTTATGCAGCACGAACGGCTAGCTCTTCAGCACCGTCGTGTCTTCTTCTCGGTCGGGTCCGACCATGCCATTCAGGGTCGGGACCGCCGCTTTATGCAGCATGAATGGCTGGCTCTTCAGCGCCGTCGTGTCTTCTTCTCACTTGGGTCTGTCCATGACATTCAGGGTCAGGACCACCGCTTTATGCAACACGAGCGGCTAGCTCTTCAATGCCATCGTGCCTAGCGTGGAGACTGCATCTCGCCTACCACTTATGCATGCCTTGCGTGCAAGACTATTCGGAGACATTGACTCAGGGAAGGCGAGGAAGAACGTGAGCACGAGTATACTTTCTCGAGTAGATTCGAAGGCTCACTACTCAAGAAAATGGGGGACTTGTGTTGGGGAATATTGTCTTGGCCTACTACTGTTCAGAGGCCAAGGCATCACCCCGGTATGGAGCCCAGTCGGCGAGGCCCATTTAGGCCTACCCAACCCATTTCGGACCAACCAACACATATTTCGACCCAACCGGCCCATTTAGGCCCATCGGCCCATTTAGGCCCCTCCCCTCCTATAAATAGGAGAAGGGAAGGCCTTCTCCAGGATCTTTTTCTCTTCTCTCATGGGGAGCTCTCTCATCCCTGCAACTTCTTCTTCTTCTTTGAGGATTAGCAACCAAGCTCCATTAATGGAGTTCCAAGTTATTTGTACTATGTAAATGGTGAGCTAGGAGAGTATTAATGAGAAAGAGCGGGCTTGGATGTTAGCCTAAAAAATCTCGTGGTTTTCTCCCCTTCGGGTTTTCACGTAAAAATCGAGTGTTATACCATATTATATTTATATTTATTAGTTTATGTTGGACTTAAACTCAAAAAATGTCTTTAATCAAATGTCACTTTTTTATTTAGTACCTGAAAATATCAATTTACCATAAACTAATTAGGGAAGGGTACGGAAAAGGTACATGTGGTTGGGTCATTTTTAGACAGGGTCATGCGTTTAACTTTTTATCAGAGTGGTTCATGTGTTAGGACTCCGTTGTCACAAGAGGATCCTGGCGCCTGACGCCACTAAAAATGCATGATGAAGACAGTGAATAGTAATTCCAAGTTTCAAAAGTGCTCGGAAAATAAAAATAAAAATACCGGAAGGTGGCCTAGCGGTCGTCTTGTTGAGGTGCACCTTCCGTTATTTTTCTTTTAATTTTCGAGACACTTTTGAAATTGGAGTTAATGTTCATTGTTTTCCTCCGACAATTTATAACAATGTCAGGCGCCAGGACCCTGTTGTGATAACGGAATTCAAACACATGAACCACTTTGATAAAAAAATGAAACACGTGACCCTTTCTGAGCACAGACCCAACCACAGGTACCTTTCTCGTATTTTTCCCAACTAATTATTATTATTAAACAACACAAAATAAGTTAATATCAAGGGAAGCTTTTGCAAACTCAAATTTTCCAAATGAGGTTAAGGTAAATCATGCTTCAAATCTATTTATATATTTTCGAACAATACAAATGTTGTATGCACATGAGTCATACACATCCTTCCATCCCGACCTCCCTATCTTAGCTGAATCTGTTTTAACCTACGGGTAGGAAAAACAAACAACTACTCGTTCAGCAATGTGTCGAGTGCTACATCAATAATTACATAACATATCAAAGCATATAACAAATACAATGTGATTAGCATGTAATTATGGAACATATAAATATACCCGGGTGATAAAGAAGTTGTAAACCTTCCCAAGAGGTGCCACAAGATCTTCTTCTCGAGGTTGCTCACATCTGACACCGCAACCAATTGAGGACGATGTACGCAGAAGGTGCGTGCACTGGACATGGACTCGTTCAGTGCATGAGAGGATGGTGAAACCCCTATGAGAAAAGAGCACATAGTTCCTAAAATTAATTAATCTCATAGTGTTTTTTATTGCTGACATTTTTGGTTCGAGATTTTGGTTTCAGAACCCTTGGTAAAGCTGAATAAGCTTGTTATGGTTGAATCGAAACAAGATATAGGTTTCTTCGGGGGACCGGAAAACTACATGAAGCTATGTTTTTGAGATTCCACTTTTATGAAAAAGAAGGTAATTTTGAATGGGATGGGTCTTTGAGTTCCTACGTTGTTTTTTGTCTTGGTTTATCTAATGCATATTTTTGCTTTTTCCTCGTTTGTGGGGTGGGTTTGTCCTCACCGGCTATTGCCAGGATGGGTGTGTGTCGATGGGACGTGTAAGTTAGAATTGTCGTGGTCTTGGTAGCTTGACAACTGTACAGATACTTGAGGATATCATGCCTACTTATCATCCATCGATCATATTTTTGATGGAGAATCTAATCGGACGAGAGAGGGTGGAGCATGTGTGGCAAAGGATAGGGTTTCACTACTCTTTCATTGTGGCTTGTGAATGACATAGTGGTAGACTAGCGCTATTATGGAAGGACGAAGTGAATGTCTCAACCGGGATCTTCTCTCAGAGTTACATTGATGTGAAGGGGACGAACGATGTGAAGCTTCTCTCGAATGTTTCAGGGTTTTCTTGTTCGAACGCTTTAAAGAGGGTATACTTTAGAACGTTTGGAGGGCATCAATTGAAAAGAAGAAATGTTTGATTTGTGAAGGGTACCCTTTAATAATAGTAAACCTTTTGAGGGTGCTTTAAAAAAACTCTTTTGAGGACATTTTAAAAATTTGTGCGGCGTAAACCAATATTAAATGCTTTGTCTCTTTTGGGATATATGGGCTTCTTTCCCTATTGAAGATTAAAGCAAAAAATGGGATGGGCTTGTATAGGGCCGCCTTTAGAAACACATTAGTGTTAGGTGAGGCATTTTTGTCCCATCTTGTGCCTAGACCCACCTTTGCGGCGTCTCTACACGCGTTTCTGAACACTGACTATACGTGGAATAATTTTATCATGAAAAAATTCCACTTTTGGTCCCATGACTATTATGCCACTTCCACATTAATCCCCTAAGTTTCAATTTAACCAAATGTAGTCCTTGACATTTTCCACGTAACCACCCGTGGTCCTTTCTGATCACAATTCCGGCTAAAATTAACTGGAGCCCAATTAATGAACATTTATTGGGGGCATTTTAGTAAATTTAAATTACAAAAACGGCTACCTAATAAACTACTCAATTAAGTTAACTTAATGGCGAGCTAATACCGTCGTCTCCCTCTACCTCAAAAATCGAACTCTCTTCCGCCTCTGAAGAAAGCTTCCTTCAGCTTGAGAAATCCCCAAAATCGTTCAAACAACGAGGACCCGTCTGGAACGGCAGCGTGAAGGAGAAGGAACAAGTCTTGAACGGCGTTCTCCAACAAATTTTGGTGGTAAAGGTAAGAGACTGAACTGAGGTTTATATATACGGTGTTTGCAGTGTTTGCACATGTTAGGGGGTTTATGTTGAGGTTCCCTTTTCCCTTTTCCCTTTTCCCTTTTCCATTTTCCCTTTTTTCCCTTTATTCCAAAACATGGTAGGGTAAGCATGTGTTTTTTGGCTTAGATTACGCTGGTCGGTTATCTTTAACCATTTAAGACATGGGACCAGTTCACATTTATCTTTACGCAAGCTTAGACCATTTATGGTGTTGTGTTAACCTTTTAAACACATTATTGACCTCATTTATAAAACAGGTGCAGCCAAGTGTGGAAACACTTTTACTTTGAGGTTGTTTTATGGAGGAAAAGTAAATCACACGGATAAACCTTCATAATTGGGAGGGTCAATCCATTATTTTCATGATGTAGAGGTTGATGAGTTTGGTTTGATTGAGTTGAATGAGAAATTACAAGAACTTGGTTGCACAAAAAAGGTAATGATTGTGTATTCCTATTCACATGAGAATGAGTCCCTAAAGCAACTAAATAATGAGGCAAAGGTTTGGGGGATTGTGAATGATGGAAATGTTGGTAAGGTGGTGGAGTTTTGGATAGAATTAGAACCTAGTTGTGACACTGAAGATGATGATGACCCTGAAGATACTGACTTCAGTGAGAACGACTTAGAACACTTTTCTGGGGATGAGGATGACTCTGATTCGGAAGACTTCATTTCTAAGGAGGATGTTGTGTTGTCTACTCATGGAGGGTTAAACAGCAGTAGTGAAGGAGAAGAAAATGTTACTGAAGCTTCAATGGTGGATCCGGATCCTAACTTGTCTGATGATGGTTCCATACATGAATCTGACACTCACTCTGAGATGTGGACTAAATTCTGTGCCAAGACTAATATGAAAGACCCTACCTTTACACTGGGTTTGACATTTGGCACCAAAGGAATTCAAAGAAGCTGTGGAAAATCACGCATTTAAGAATGGTAAAGAGGTGAGGTTTGTCAAAAATGATAAGGAACGGGTTGTTGTGGAGTGCAAGCATATAGGATGTCCATGGAAGATGAATCTTAGAAAGGTAATGAACTCTCATTCTTGGAGTATTTTACAGTACCATGACACACATGAAGGTTGCTCTTGGGTCTATCACAACAAAATGGTGAACTCAAGCAAGGTAGCAAATAGGTGGTTCAAGGAGATTGAGGGTCACTCAAATTGGAAAACCAAAGAATTTAGACAGAAAGTGTGTTGGGACGCGGGTATGCGGTGCCAACAATCTGCCAGCCTGCCGGTGCAATCGAACCGTGTGGCGCTTCGCTTGTGCTATAAAGGGGGGAGAGTGTGCTACACTATCAGCGATTGATTTTAGTGTAGCGGTAAGCGCAACGATCCACAAGTGGTATCAGAGCCAAGGTTACGGGTTCGAGCCCCGGCAACAGCATGCTGTGCAGTTGAGGCTGGCAGGTGCTGGGGGGAGATTGTTGGGCCGTGAGTATGCGGTGCCAACAATCTGCCAGCCTGCCGATGCAATCGAACTGTGTGGCGCTTCGCTTGTGCTATAAAGGGGGAAGAGCGTGCTACACTATCGGCGATTACTTTTAGTGTAGCGGTAAGCGTAACGATCCACAAAGTGTGTACTGAAGAACGCTTCCATTTGAGTCTCAGGCAAGCTTATAGAGCAATAAGTAAGGCTAAGAGAAAACTGAAAGGTGAAGAAGAAGATTACTTCAAGAAGATATGGTCATATGTGGCTGAAATAAGAAGGACCAATCGTGGAAGCACATGTGTTGTGAAATTGAGTGAAAATGTAGAAGTGGATGGACAACAAAGATTTCTGAGGATGTATATGTGTTGGGAAGCATGCAGGGAAGGATTTAAACAGTGTAGACCACATATCAAATTGCATTGTTCAAAGTGCAAGGAGGCTGGTCACAATGCTAGGAGATGTCCGGATGATCCTAACAACAAGGAAAAACTAGTATAGTGTGCATCTATATTTTGTAAGATTATTTTATTATTATAGTATATTGTGTATAATGTGTGCATTAACTACTATGTGTTTACATGTAATCAGCTGCAACCTAGAAAAAGAAATAGGAAACCAAAGAGCAAGCATAGTGTTGGAGTGCATGATAGAGTTGAGGAGCCTAGGGATGAGGGGGTTGCTACAGAGGACAGCCTTGGTGATCACACCAACCTTTATGATGACCTCAACCTCATTGAAATTACCATGCAGTCTGCTGAAGGAGCAAATTTTGCAAGTCGGGTTCCTATTGTTGTGAGTATAGAGGACACTGCTATGTTCACTCAAGAGACACAGGTCAGTCAAGACTCAGAAGAGAGAAAAGAAGAAACCTTAGAAGGGAGCAAACAAGATACCAAAGAAGAGAGCCCCAAAGGAGAGAGTGAAGAGGTTTCAGAAGAAGAGACTGTTGGACATACCAGAGGACAAAAGAAGGGGTTAGGATATGCTATGGACCACCCCCTTGTCAAAAGAAGAGCAGTTCAAATGTAGTCAAAACACCCAAACTCAGCATTAAAAGGGGACCAACCTATGCTACTAGATCCAAAACAACTTTCAAATCAGTCTTCTTTGGAAATGATGATGACCCCATTGATATACAGTAGTGGGTGGACTAAAATGTGTATTCATGAAGCTACTTTGATGATGTAATGTAATGTAGTACCTTTTGGCTTTTTGGAAGTGACTGTGTTGTTAAAGCTTCTATGTTTTTGAGATACTTTGGCTATTCATGATCTCAGTGTGATCATGTAATGTATGGATTAGCATTTTGGTTGTCTATGATATCAGGTTTTTGGATGATCTAATGTAATGCATGGATTAGCATTTTGGTTGTGTATGATCTCATGTAATGTATTAGCAGGTTGTTAAGTTTGTTAACTTAGTCATAATTACATGTTTTTAAAGTGAGGTTTGTGGTCCAATATTTTCAAGTCATCAGTTAGCATACATATGTGTTAAGCACATTTTCAAGTCATCTGTTAGCATACATATGTGACTCATGATCATATAACTTTCATTTCATTTCATACCAAATCATGATAATCAACAGCTTTTACAAAGCTTTCACAAAGCTTTCACAAGTACATTATCACACACCTCATCACCGCTACAACTACATTATTTACCTTCAAGTACACTGAAATAATAATAACCATAACACACATAAAGCACACCACTGTAATGCAGTTACTACATTTTGTCTTCTTCTTTTGTGCTTGGAACCAGTTTGTCTCCAATGTTTGAACTTTCAATTCCAATGATCCAACCTTTTCTTCATAGGCATTCAGTTTTTTCAATAATCTAGGGATTATTTTTTGAGACCTTTTGCACATCGGCGGGTCAAACCACTCCATCAAACTACAACCTTCAAATCTCTGCAAGAACATATATATTTTCCAATTCAGTCAACCAATATCGAATTTCTAAATATTTCATATATTACAACTATATATAACCTGACTTCCAATGCATTTCCAAAACCTTCTCCCACAGTTCTCTGGTTTCCAAGTTGTCAACATCTTCATTCGTTGCCCACATTCACAATACTTCACCGGAATCCACTCTCGATATTCATATTGGCCCGTACAATTTGAACTACCCGATTTTGAGCTAGAAATGGTGACGGAGAAGCTATGGTGAGATGCTTGTCTGCACCCACTCAAACGTTGTTGCTATGTCAGACTGACGAGCGAGTACAGTAGATATGGCAAGGAGAAGGTATGGCGAGGGAGAAGCTATGGTAGGGAGTCTGCGTTTCTAATTTTGGAGTTGACTGAATCCTTTAAACGTTGGAGTTAGGTTGCAAACCAATAAATGCTATTAAATGATGCAACTATCCTTCATTAATTAGACTCCGGTTAAATTTAGTCGGAATTGTGGTCGGAAGGACCACGGGTGGTTACGTGGAAAAGGTCAAGGACTACAATTGGTTAAGGTGAAACTCAGGGGATTAATGTGGAAGTGACATAATAGTCATGGGACCAAAAGTAGAATTTTTTATTTTATCATAGACTAAAAATGACCATAATACTATCAAATAAGTCCCTTTACTACTTCAAAAACTCAATTAAATTCCTAGAGAACATTCAATTAAACCCATGAACACATATAGAATTTTCAAATTGGCTTTTTAGCCAGATAACTTTGGTAAACTATATATGCCTAGGTGACTTTTTATTTTAAATTTTCTTTTTTTCTTTCCCGTCCGCTTTTCGTTCTTTCTATCTCTTTCTTTATTTTTTGGGAAAACTGTCAAATAGGTACACATACTATTGCCAAAAAGTCAATTGAGTCCACATACTTTTAAATGAATCAATCAAGTCTATGAACTGTTAAAAAATAGCCAATTTGGCTTTTTACCGGTAATGAGCTGGTAACCTACCTACTGAAGTCTACTTGGCATTTTTTCGTTGTTTTCTAGTTTCAGTTTCTTTTTTATTTTTGATGTTCCTTTTATCGTTCTTCCTTTTATCTTGATGTCGGTGAATGACATTTTATTTCCCATATGGTGCTTTTTCCAACGGGTCACCATATACATCCTTTGCCTTGTTGCACAGTTGCACACTATGACATCCTATGCCACCATGAACGGTGAACCTGCATAGTACGGCCTGCCATGGTTCAACCACCGAGCACCCACCGACGATTGCCGCAAAACCACCAAACAACCCAAAGCCCAGCAACAACGTCGAGCAAATCAACAACTCCCAACAGCGCCGAGCAAATGAAGAACCTCTACTGCTATACAACGTGTCCCCTAACCCCTGCAGTGGCTCCCCAAATCCATGTAACTCTAGATTGAAGAGAGGATTTACATTAGATCTAGGATGGTTGGCCCAACCCTCGCTGGAATAAAACTAAAGGGCAACGACTGGGTAAGCGTATGTCACCGTCGCCGGATGAATGGAGTAGAAGAGGTCGCTCACGAAAAAGCTAAAAGGAAAGAAAGAGAAGGATATTGCCAGAGTTACATCAAAACGGCTTGGAGATGGTGTTTAAACAGCAAATATTGTCAAGCAGAGCGACGTTCGGTAACATGGATTGTCGTCCGAGGAGACATTACTTCCAGAGAGTCTCATCTCAGCTTTTAACACGTAGAATTATTCCGGATGACCGAATGACGAACGTGTTAACAGTTTGGAGGGAGCCATCATTTCAGCTAACAGAATTTGACCCTGTGATCACAAACGAATAAAGGGATCAAAGCGGCTTGGAGGGAATCACCTCAGCTAATAGACTTTGACCCTGTGATCACGAACGGTAAAGGGATCAAAACGGCTTGGAGATGGTGTCAAAACCATAAGTATGGACGAGCTGAGCGACGTTCGGTAACATGGATTGTTGTCCGGGGGATCGGAACTATGGTTTTAAAATCTCGCCTCAGTCATTAACTTGATTCAGAAGTGAGTCGCCATTTTAGCTAAATTAAGAAATGACCCGATCCGGTGATCTTGCTTACACTTTGAAAGTGGTCACCTCAAACCCCTAATATGGATGATACGAATCAAAGGAAACTATTCGGAATGCATCGGAATTATGGGTTTGGAAGGGAGAGAGTCTCACCTCAGCCTTTAACACGTAGAATCATTCAGGATGACCGAATGACGAACGTGTTAACAGTTTGGAGGGAGTTGTCATTTCAGCTAGCAGATTTTGACTCAATCAAAACGGCTTGGAGATGATGTCAAAACTATGAGTATGGACAAATAGAGCCACACTCGGTAACCCTAAAATGAGGAAACCAGGAGTTCGGGTTTGAAAGATATTAAGAGGCAATGAATTGACACAATTATGGAGAGAATCAAATTTTTATTCTTCGGCACTACTGACCGGAAGATACAAAGAAATCAAGAATAAAGTTACAAAGATGAAAAAGCTATTCTAATGGATGATTGCCGTTCGGGGAAGATTGAGGTTGAGAGCTGCCGGCTTGTGCTGCATCATTAGAGATTGCTTTCTGTCTCATCTCCATGACCCGATCGTAAGTATTCCCGAACAGGACATCAAACCCCAACTCATCAGGATCGAATGGTTTGGGGAAATGCTCCAAGATCAGATCAAGGTTCATGTCTAGAAGCAGATCTTGACGTTGCTTCACAGTCTTCTCCGTTAGGACATCCAAGAAAGACTTCCCTTCGGGCGTGCTATCTAAAAGCTTGATCCACGTCTTAATCAGGTCCTCGCTCTCACGCAGGAACTGGCCAAGGTGAGGTCCCAAGAACTGCCGAGTGGTATTTTCCAGAGCGACATTCAACCCTTTTCCCCGTTGATATTCTATCAAGGCTTGTTGGGTAATCTTCGAGGTATTGGCAGTATAAGGCTCGGGAGGATTTTCTCCCTCTGATTTATCAAACCGCATCCCAGCGGATTCAACCACCTTCACCTTGGCTCTGAGATCCTTAATTTCCCGATCACGACGTTGGATCCTCTCTTCCATCTCAGCCAGCTCGGCCATCGCCCTCTCACCCTTTTTAAGGTGATCCTGCATATCAGTGATCAATTTCGGGCGGCAGATAGAAGCGTCTGACCATCATCCCGATCACTGGCTATGCGTTTCATCTCCTGCTCGGCGGCCAGGAAAGCCCGATGATAATATACTCCGGCCTATCAACAATAGCGAACAAAATCAGATAAGATCCACTAAGGATATATAAACAAAAGGAAATTTTGAAGGATCTATACCTTGAGAGCCTCCAGGTGACCTGCCTCAACCAGATCTGACCAATGGGTTATATTGGAGAAGCTTGGGGGAACCTTCAGGGATGTGCTGCACCACATGGAAGATGACATCTGCCCGAAAAAATATCGTCCCTCTGCACGAGGTCCCATGTTAGAAAATTCTATGAACATCCGATCATCGACCGGTATGTTATTGAGAATTGGATTCTTGGGCTGAGGAGGAATAACAGATTTCTTCAACTCATTATCTCGACCGGTCAGATCAACCACGTGGTCGATCAGGATAAGCGGGTTACTATCATTTCCTCTGCGTCTTTTCCGAGCTTGATCAGTGTTTGACTGGCCTTCGAAAACCATCTTTTCCTTGCCTTTCCCAGCGGAGGCAGATGGGGTCATGGCTGAAATAGAACGCCGAACGGGAATAGGGGATATCACACCTGCAAAAGAGAAAATAAGAGATAATAAATAATTGAAAGAAGATCGATCGGGATAGAAATAAAGGAACTTACCAATCCCAGCAGCTGACATCTTGGAGGGAGTAATAAAACCCCGAAGACTCCGAGTTCCTCCCAAACGCAGAGATTCAGCTTGAGAGCGCAGAACATCATCTAATTTGGGCTCAGAATCTCGGACAGGATAGGCATTCCACCGATCAGGGAATGAGAGTGAGTCACCCACACGGAAAAAGAGGAACCTTTCTTCCCAATCTGCCGGCGGCATGACGTTATCTGTGAACAGCTTACGGTCGGCTCAGGCCACCAACTTCAGATACCTGGTGGTCCAGTAGGGCTGATAGCAGTAGTGGTACAAAAACAGATCAACACTAAGAACAATGCCCAGCTCGTGACAACGGATGATGAAACCGTTCAGTATGTGATAGGTGTTGGGTATGAACTGAGCGGGAAGTAAAGAGACCCGGCGCAAGAACTCCACGACGAACGGATGCAGAGGGAAGCGAAGCCCAGCAACCAATGCATCAAGATGCACAAACACGTTCCCCGGTCGGTGCCTCATTGGGTGCTTGATGAATCTAGCATAAAACTCCCGGGGCGGAGGTAAAAGCTGGCAAAGTTGTCGATCAGCATCCTCAGGAAGACGTTGTTTTTGTTTGCGAATGCGGGAAAAATGCAAAGGAATGCAAGGTGGCCGTTCGGGCATCCCCTTGTTATAGATCTTAACATCATCTCCCGAAAGACATCCGTCATCGAGAGGCTTTTCGGCATCTTTTTGTACTAGAGAATTGGTAGAGTTATGTACTTGGGAAGAAGAGCCCTCAGCCTTGTTTAAAGCGAGAGTTTTTCCTCTACGAATAAGCGGCATTTCTTCAGACTCTGAGCTAGAGGAGAAGAACATAAAAGAGCACATAGTAATTCAAGGAAGCCTGAGAATTTTAGAGAGAAAAAGCTTAGAGAGACGCAAGAAGAAATTAAGGAAGCAACAGAGAAAATGAAAAAGAAGCACCTCTATTTATAAGCGAAGATGCCGCCCAAAACCCTAACCCATGAAGAACATGTGGCAAAATGTGGTTGCGCGAAATTATGACACATTTATGGTAATTTAGCACGTTTCCCGAATGATTAATGGGTACGCCATGAAGAACGGGTTAACAATTTTTGGGAAGCCATCTTAAAGACACCGAACGATGAACATATTAAGGGAGATCCCGGACCAAGGTCGACATAAGCCGTATATTTGGAACAAGTATCTTTAGATAGCCCGAACGGGTAGTATTTGAAGAACAACAGATAAAGATCAGCGGGATGGGGAAAGTCAGAATCCGGGCGACAGTCAGAAGATATGGGCAGCAAACAAACAATCCTTCTTGAGAGCAGTAAACTCCTCAGAAGATTTGAACGTCTCCCTTATGGAGGACAGGTCAACATTCACCTCAGCAGGGCCGTCCAGGATACGGGGAGATGTTTCTGCAAACTTCACCTGAACGGCCTCAGCCGCAGAAACTATAGCCTGGGCAGTGGCCAGTTGGACTCGAAGCCCCCCCACCTCATTGTCAAACTTCTGCCTCTCCTCGGCAAAGGCTTTCCGTTCGGCCTCCAACGTTGCAAAAGCAGCGGCAGCATTCTGCTCAGCGGAAGTCTGAGCAACACTCAACTCCCGCTCTTTAGCTAGCCGGGCATCCCTCGGTTGCAAGCTGTATAGCCCAACCTACAGAATGTCGTTCGAGAAATGAGATAATGTAGAGCAAAAGTTAACATATGTAACAAGTTATTGCAAAGGTTAAAAAAATAAAGTACCTTCAGGGCTGCTAAGGCCAAACATTCCTCCGACTGCTCGACCAGCAGTTTGGGAACATCGAAGTTGTTGAAGAATGCAGAGGTGGACCAGATATTGACTCGCCGAACAACCAGCATTCTCTACAACTTCGTGAACTGGATCGGCCAGTGAGATCCGATCGACTTGGCCAGATAGGTGGACGGTATGCGTGCCACCCGTACCCTGGTCGGCATCCTGAGCAGCCTGGAAATGCTCAGAGAATTAATGCAACTGATCAGATCCGAACCGATCTTCGATCAGCATGGCTTCAAACTGATCCTGATGAGGGACCTGTTGAATTGGTTGTGGCTCCTGAACGGGTTGAGAAGACCCGCCATTTTGAGCAGTGGTGGTGGAAGGATTGGGTTTGGGATTCTTTTTTTGCTTTCTTCCTTTTCCCGACCTCACCGACTGCTAGCACACAGCTGTTATCCATTGGAGCGTCTGGATTGGGAGCTGAAAAATAACAAAAGGAAAATGTTAGTACCGAGCGGCCTTATCACATGGGAAACAAAAAAAGAAGGGAATGTTTCTCGCACGGGAAGGACCGCCCAGACCATGGCACTTGATTCTTAAAACAAGTAAGCCCAACTGAACGGGCAGTACCTATCCCGGTTTTGATCAGTCGATCGGGGGTCAGATATCCTATGATGTCACAAGTTTTGTCCTTTTCTATTGCGAAGACATCCTTGCAGACTTGTTCGGTGAGAAGCGGATCGGGAGTTTTGCGGGGAAATGCATTCCACTTGTTCGCAATCAGGCTACCCGGGACGGAGACAAAAAAGAACCGGTCTTTCCACCCTTTGATCGAGGTAGGATTACCCTTAAATAAAATGTGACCCATTCGGGCAGTCACCGCCAGGTAACCGTGTGTCAGCTGGGGAGCCACCTTGAAAAATTGATGGAACAACTCTAGGGTGGGAATAACGTCGGCATCTTTACAGCGACAAATGAAGCCCGCTATTACCCGATAGGAGTTCGGCATAACTTGGGCCGGTACTATCTCGTAAAAGTTAAGGAAGGAAACGAAGAAGGGGTGTAGGGGAAACCTAAGCCCAGCTTTTACTGAGTCTGGATGGACCACCACCATCCCAGGAAGGTGGCGCAACGGATGAAGCCCAGCCCGAAGACGGAAATTAACTGGATCAGGGATTAGGGCCGAGATTTGGGCCCTATTATGAGAGGTCAATTTTTGCCTCCTTTCCCGAATTAGCCTCAAATCCACCTTGTGACGGGGAACGTCGCCCGGGAGGCCAGCCGCAATCGTAATGAGTTCATCACCGGAGTTCGTGTCGTCGGAATCATCATCCGTAGAGGAGCCGACGGAGGAATCCTCTGCCTCCGCCCTAGTCTCCGTCGTCGCTTCATTTGAACCACTAGCAAACGAGACCTTTATGACGTCCACAACGGCGACAACATGGTCAACCCCTTGGGAAGCCATTTCCGAGTCGGAGGAACGCGATTGAGAACTCATACCGACCAAACCGAAGAAGAAGGAGAAGATAAGGGATGAAAAATACCTGAACACGAAAAGCTTGAAGAAGGTTAGAAAGAAGGCAGAGCTAAAGCACGAAGGATTGGAAATTCAAAACCCAGAACTATTTGATAAAGGCTAATCTACGGTCTGATAAGCACCGTATCGTGGACCAACCAAATAATGACACGTCACCAAAACGATTAGAAATAACACATGTCGCATGGAGAAGCAAAGATCAGTAATCATGACGATTATGGGAAAAACCAAACGACAGTCGCAAGAAAGGTACTAATCAAGGCATGGGGAATCAACAAACTTTGGATCCCGATCGCCATTCGGCAGGTAACTTCTACTTCCCAATGCACTCACTATCGTTCGAGACATCGGAAGTGGGGGACTCGTGTTGGGATATTGGGCCGCACACCCAATACCCGGATCCAAGGCCCAATATATCCAGTCCGTTAGACGGGCCCATCATCGAGAAAATGAACCAGCTCTTGGGAAAATATGTACCGAACGAGGTTCGGATCAATTAACATACTTGGGCCAGATCATTAATGGGCCAGATCAATGATGACTCCAGATCAATGTACCGAACGAGGTTCGGTCTAATCAACGGACTTGGGTCAGATCAATGAAGATTCCAGCAGGGTGAACCGGTTGGTGCCCGGTTCGGGCCACCCGGCCCTCCTAAATCGTGAACCGGCCAGGCCGGTTCAGGCCCGGTCCGGGACAAATTATTTTTTTTTTTTGATTTTTTTTAAGTTTTTGGGTTGGGCTGGGTATGATGGGCCATTTGAGGTGGTTTGGGGTGGTTTGGGGGTGAGGGGGGAGGGTTGGGGGTTAATTAGGAAAAGCCAAAAAAAATATAAGAACCGAGGCCCGGCCCGGCCCGGACCCGGGGTTACCCGGGCCGGTTCCGGGCCTCCCCTTTCATGAACCGAGGCCCGAACCGGGCCCGAACCGGAACCGGTCCATCCCTAATCATGACTGTAACGACTCCTATTTCGAGAAGAAAAACATATTAGTCATATTTTGGAATTTTCAGTCGTTTACTCCTATTTAGGGCAATTTTCCTAGATGGTTGCTCAAGCTAAAAAATACGTATTTGAGAGTACAATTTTCAAACAAAATCAACTGTGTACATATGCAAACCTTTGAAATAATTATGTGGCTTGATAAACAATTTTTGTAGGCAGCTTCGTAAGCAATTTGTTTATTAATTATCCCGTGCAACGGAGGGACAAAATCACTTGTTGCCATTAAAAGACGGCGAAAGAGCGGAAGTAACGTATGGATTAGTATGTATGATGGAGTGTCCTTTTAGTTTTCTCTGTTAAAATTGCAAACTCGTCCCTGCACAAAACCATTTTAGTGTTTGAACCGGTTACGTAAATACGGTGCAAATTGAATGAAATCCCTTGATTATCCAATCCAAATCCAGTCACAACAGACAGACCAAGAGTCCAACCCTTCACAACACAAAAGGCTATTTCCGTTATTTTGACTCACAGCCAAACGAATCAGTCCGCTTTTCTCAGTTTCCCCCCGACCGCACCGTACAACCTCGCTCTTCATCTTGTTCACTTTGCTTTTGGCTCGAAGGATCTCCCTCCTCCTCCACCTCCTCCCTCTCTCTAGACGCTTCTGAGATACGTTTCAAAACCCTTCCCCTCTTTCGATTTCTAAACCCAGTCGCCCGGCCAATTTCATCCTCATTTTTCTTAATTCTCCGAAAACTCTCTCGTTCTCTGTCTTTTTAATCTTTCTACGTGTTCCGTTTCTGCCCATAGGTGTGTGTGGTGCCGCGTGGGAGGGTATTTAATTACAGGGAGAGCAAGGGAGCTCAAAAGTTGACGCCTTTTAGCGCTCCCGCACAATGCCTGTTGAGGTGCTGAGAATTCACTGGAATTGGTGCCCGGAGCTGGTTCTGGTTTAGCAGGAAATGGAGTCTTCAAGTTCCAATCGAGCTTTTCCGTTTTACATCGATCTCAACGAAGCCCCCCTGCCTTCGCCCCGAGAAGCTGATAATGACGACGACGTTGTTATACTTGACAGGCCGTTCCGAGCTGCTGCTGCTGCTGCTCAAGTGAAAAATGCGGACTCTAGGCTGGTTGTGTCTCGAGGGTCTGAGGACTTCAGTAGTCCGCGTTGCTCTATGTGTGAGCGTCGGAGGAGAGACGGGGAGAAGGAGTGGACGTGCTTGGGGTGTTTGATTGGGAAACGTAGTGGCAGTAGTGTAGGTAGAAATGCAGGTGACGGTGGAGCTAGGGGCTTTGGTGAAAGTGGTGACGCGGCACTTATAGGTCTGGATATAAATGCGCCCCCACCTAGGGAGCTCGAGCTTGAAGGCTTTGTTCTAGACTTGAATGAGGATGCCACAGTGAGGAGGCTGCATGGCGAGCTAGACAATAACGGCGAGTATGTTTTTAGTCATTTTCTTTATCCTTTTTGTTAATTATATATAGATATAAACCCTAGTTTGATTATGCAATGCATGTTATAGTTGAGTCTAAAGTTTTAATTTAATGGATTTCAGGCTGTAAACATTTGTGATTTTGCTATATATCTTCCTGACAGTTGCATTGATCTGTGTATATGCTCTTACTTTCCTCGGATTGGTTTGTATATGTATGATCCTTTGCATTTGTAGCTGCTCTTACGGCATGTAGCCATCTTCCTAACTTCTAGTTGATTTTGATAGCTATGACTCAATGACTGAACGACTCCTTACATGAATATCCAATTTGGGAAAGACTATGGCTTGAGCTCTTTATATAATGCGTTTCTATGTTTCTGACCTTAGAATATGACTCGTTGGTTTCTTTACTACAAGCATAAGAAGCTGCACGAGAAGAATGAAGAAGAACCAGGCTAGAAATTTAGTTAATGGAAATTTTGTTTCACGCCCACTTAGATAGTAATGTGGAATACTTTTAGGTCACAAATGCATAATTTGAAATAGAGAAATAAGATCATTTTAACTATGCAGTTGTGCATGACTTTACAATGTAAATTTTCATCATTTTAACTACTCAGTTGGACCGACACCATTTAAGTGGTATCAACCTGTTGTTATAAGACTATATATAATCCCCTGTCATTGTTGGAAGCATATTAAGCAGGATTTTTATTCATGCATGCCTCATTATGGCCTTCTGATTTTATGGACTTTGATAGAATCTTCTACAGTACCATACCCCCTATCATGAATTGTGCTTAACTGTGGCTGTTTTTTGTTCTTGCACTCGTATAATATATTTCTAACACTAATTGCCAAGTATTTTGTTGCATTGCACTAGGGCTCTGTTATCATACACTAATTTCCATATCTCAAACGGTCACATGGTAGTAGCACTGTTTTGCATGTCTCATTGTTTCTCACAATGACATAAATACTTAAATAGTAAGGTGACTCGAGTTTAAGGCATTTGAAGCAGCATGTGTACTGTTACAATAAAGAAATAGTGATATAGTTTTCATAGTTTTAGTAGCATTATAGTTTCTATGGGTATACTCCTACCATATTTAGGTCCATCACTCCTCTATATAAGTATTGTAATAGTCTTTAGAAGTTATAAAATTGTAAGTTCAAAGTCACATCAATAGTAGTAGTAGTTTATTATTCAACATGGTATCAGTTTCCTAAATTATTCAACATTCTAATTTACTTTTCAAACTAAAACATTAAATTCCCACCGCCTCTTGAGATCTGAAGAGGCTCAGCTCCTTTGTTCACTAAACGAACCATGCCAGAGCCTGAGAATCACTACTCTACTTTTGAAACAACGTCTCCGTTCTAGATTTGCCGCTTGCACAGTAAGACTCTAAGGCAAACCTCCAGCTATGTGCTGAAATTTGAGCCCAATTCTGGAGACCTTTCTTGGTGAAATTTTACAGTTCGATTGTCTTTCCTGGCGACGGTCTTGTAAAATGTATGTTTAGTTTCTCCCCATTCGAGCTCTTGCAAATTTCAGCATTTATTCACGATTTGTCAATTGTCAATATCACGTGTCTTGCATCCCAAGTGTTTGCTGAAATGTCAAAGTTGAGTATTAAATACTATTTCATTGAGACAAAGTTAAAGCAGAAGACAAAGACGAAGAAGAAAAAGCAGTTTGTATGTTAATGTTATAGACTTATAGTTAAAGTTCAATTTTCTAATACATTTAAAAGTACAAACACACAACTATAATATGAAGGACCACAAGCCAGACCCACCATATGGAGCGTCCGAGCGTCGTTGACTGGAGACAAAGTCTAAGACCCTATAATATATGGGGAGCTTAAAGTGGCAAACTTGAGATTCTAATGATTTACAAAAGAGAGAGCTTTTGATAAGAACCAGTTTGATGCTTGTGGATGCACACTGGTGACTGATGGTTGTGAATTCATAATTGGAACCAGTTTGTTGATGTAGAGCTCAAGTTGGTGGTCGTGTTGTTTAGCAAACTGAAGATTTGTATGCAGACTGCAGGATGTTGAAAGATTGAGGCAGAGAGTTCTAGAACACACCTGTGCGCCTTTTGCACTCTGTCAACATGCTGTTGTAAGACAGAAGGGAATTGATGTAGTACTGCCAAGACTAGGTCTTTTTGTTGTTTTGGGTTGATTTTTTATGGATCAATTTTTAATCAATTATATTTATGGTTTAGAGCCCTTCGGGTATCATGTTGTCAGGTTTAGTGGTCGTTTGTTTGAGTTGTTTCTATGGCGACGTTTTTATTTTCAATCTCTATTATTATTATTATGATGCCAATAAAACCTTTTCTATCCATTATCACTTATAATTGGGCTAATCTTTTAGTGATTCTTTAAATTTAATAGTAATTGTATGGTGTCTTATTTCTTTTTTTATAGAATTTTTTGTGTCCTCATGTCAAGCCATTCCGTGTCACTGTGAGTGTATATCAAGCTTGTCAATGGCGTGCCATGGCGCTTGTGCCATGCGCCATGAGGCGCGGAAATGGCCTCTGCGCCGTAAAATAGGCAGTGGCGACATGGCGATGCCATTGTCTCGCCATCGCCAAAATCTCGCCATGGCCATGGCGATGCGTAGGCTTTTTTTACACATCAGCGGACATTTGGTCTCGGATTTTGGGGCTGTTGGGCCTGCTTAACGCTAACTTAATAAAACTCTAAATAAAACTTAATATTTTAGCCCATTATAGTAATAACAACCTAACAAAAGTAAATAAACACACAAAGCCTGCTGACAGTAGAAGTTAAACACACAACGCCTGCGGACACAAAGCCTGAGTACAGTTATAATTTATAAAGTACTCTTATAACTTCAGTTTACAAACAATTTTCTTAGCACTTCGCACTCTTAAACTGTATGTTAGCACTTATAACTACTTTATAATAATAGTATATAAAAGTTATACTTCAGCTAACTACTTTATAATAACAGTATGTTCAGATAATTTAAAATGAAGTTTTTACTTTATAGTTTATGTTAAAATGAAGTTTTTACTTCAGCTAACTTTATAGTTTATACAGTTATAAAGTATAAACTATCAGTTTGATTAAGAAGTTTTTACTTCTATAGTTTTTACTTCAGCTAACTTTATAGTTTATACAGTTATAAAGTATAAACTATCAGTTTGATTAAGAAGTTTTTACTTTATAGTTTTTACTTCAGCTAACTTTATAGTTTATACAGTTATAAAGTAATATATCAGTTTGATTATGAAGTTATAAAGTATAAACTATACAGTTATAAAGCATAAACTATCAGTTATAAATTGAAATTGAAAGCCTTTCTGATTAAGAAGTATCAGTTTGATTTTAAATACTATTAGTTCAAAGTCCTTTACTATCAGTTTGATTATAAATTGAGAATTTGAGATGATTAACAGTTTAAAGTCCTTTAAACTTTAAATTCATATTTTAAATGCTTGCGGAGTTGCAGTTTTTACTTCAACTTGAGATGATTAACTTGGAAGTACTTTACACTATTTTAACTTCACGTGTTTTGGTTAGAATGTTGTTATTCAACTTTTTTATCATGTTTTGGTGGATGGGTTGATGAATTATAGTGTTTATCATTCGTTTTGAAGTTTTTTTGTCACGTGGCGACGCCATATTTGCGCCATCGCCATTGCCATGGGAAATGGCTTGTGCGCCATGGATGTCGCCATGCGCCATGACAACTATGGTGTATATGTTTTTGTGTTTTTTTAACCCGGTAGTAAACCACTCATCGGTGAGGCAAATGCCAGGGAACATTTGCCAGATGTTATTAAAATAGATAAAGGGCACAAACAAGAGCGGGGGTCACCAAAACCTCTCCAAATACAAACAAACAAAATATAAGTAATAAGATAAATGGGGGGGGGGGGGGGCGGCTAGACCCGACCCAATTTATAAAAGATACAACAAAATTAAAACCGAAAAGAAGGTATACCAAAATAATCCATTAAATAGGCCGTTTAGCAAATATTGAAAGCTGAGTTGGGCTGCTGAAAGAATGATGCTGACTGGCCTGGATCACAGCCAAATTATGCGCAACCCAGTTACCTCCCTCAAAGTATGACCGAAGATAACACCTTTCCTAACTAAACTATGTTTTTGTGCTTTCTAGCTAATTCTTATGAGGAACATAACTTTGTATTTGGATAAGGAGACTGAATGTGTCATTGGATTTAATCTCCTAGACTGCTAGCTTTTCCCTCTGCCTATACCTATTAAATGTCCCTATTGCAAAAAAATAATGAATTAGGTGTTGATGATTTGCCACCCTTTAATAGTAATGATGATGGCCTCTATTGTGTTTATTCATATTTGTTTCTAAAAATGACTTTTACATATTCAGTATCCGGGTAATGATCACTTACCTTATAATTATGCAATAACAAATTATGGGGATAGTTTTCCATGATAATAGAGGTGTGGATCTTTTTTTCTTGAAGGGGAGTTTTAAAGTCATCTACTAAATATAGTCGGTTATGCCAATGATATTTGACTCGGATCACATCGAAGGGATAGCATACTAAAAAAGTGAGATATTCATGTCTCTAGAATCGAGAAGTTAAGCACATGTTCTTCATATAATTGAACAGTTCATTGTTTTAAAAAGTATGTTAAGATATGGTATGAGTACAACTCTTCCTATGCTTGACATAACGGGTAAATAATAAGTCACCTTCTTTATATGGATATATGCTGAATCTTCATTTAATAATAATGATAACATTATGTTACTAAATTAGTTCTTTTGGGGTCAGTAGGGGTTATTTGATTTTTGTTTATGTAACATCCAGGGTGTTCTTGTATTTCATTGCAACATGCGGATTTAACTATATGGGGTTTGCTAGGTCTCATTACATCAAAAAATTATTTAACTTACGCTTTAATAGTTTGCATATCTTTTTAATGTTTGCCTGTTTGATAAAACACTATTCCTGAGGTGCCCACTTTCTGATAAATTGTTTACAGTATTATAAGTTTCATATGCTCCCGCCAAATCCAGTTATCTTGAATTTGACCGCTTATCTTGACACAGCTCCACTTTTTTTTTACTGGCACAGACTTGCGTGATGACCACAGTTAGTTAATAAATTACAGAATTTCTATGTTGTGTTTATACATGCTCTTTTGTTACAACTTATAAGTATTTAACTACTACATGCACTTGTGAGGATGACACATTATGATATTCGGAAGTTATTGCCAACTTTGCGAATTTAGCAAAAACCATCAGCATCAGTGATACTTCCCAAGATGAGTCCAATATTTCAAACTGTACTTCCACCGTTAAGAACATTGTTTGCCTCCTTTCCTACTAGTCACTTTATATACATTGCTGGAGTCACCATTTCCAACATGATCTTTGCTGCCATCACCTGGTCAAATATGGGTTGAATAGAAATATAGCATAGGTGTAGTTTGCATACACCACGTAAGAAGCTTTATTTAAGATAAGGATTTTTAAACAGCATATAAGTGATATCCTTTTAATACGTTCTTTGGGAAACTGTTTTTCTGCTTGTTTTGATAATTCTTATGAATCTCTTACTAAAATGATCTTAATATGGAGTTTATAAAAGACCTAAGCCCTTTTTATGAACATCGTAACATACACAGAACTAACAATCCTGAATAAGTGCTTTGGCAATAGAGAAAACTAGTACATGTAATTGTATTGCTAGAATTATAAAACAGTGGTGATTTCCATCATCAGTTACCTAATGTAGGTTAGTTCATGGATGCTTATTATCAATGTAGTCAAACTCACAATTTAGCTCTTCGGATCGTACAAGTTTATGCCTCCCTCTGGCTATGGCGGTTCAGATCTAGTGCAAAATCGTAAAATTTGCTGTATCGCTTGGCGTGCCGTGTGAATTTGTAGAATCAGTAGAATCGTAATAAATTCGCGGTTCAGTGCCAGTGGCAGTAAAATATCGTAATATTTATAGTTCTGCGCCTTTTAATTTCTCATCTGAAAGCGACCTATTAACGCCATTCTGACAAGCTTCCACTTCTATACCTAAGCGCTTCCAGAATCGACAAAAAATGTGCTCATTCCTTTTATTCTTCAGAAATGCAAGTTGGGCACTTCTACAATTCTTCCGTTCTTTTATTGTCAGTACTTCTCTGACCGCCTTCGATATGGTGCCTTTGCTTCTTTTACAATTGTTCTTTGGCTTCTAGTCTGATTTTATTTCAGCCACTTTATGCTGATGGCTTTTTTGACACGTGAATTTGTAGACGTGTAGCATTTAATGTCTTCATTCACACGCATATATATGGATATTTGTGTATGCATATATGTATGATCCTACAATAAGTGTTATGGTCTAACGATTTACGATCTTCGTTTCCCTACATAACCGTGCATAGGATCTGGGCTTTGACTGCCTTGCTTATTACAATTTCTTTCCATCTTCATGCCTAAACTTAACAAGCTCTTCGCTACCCCCGGGCCTCCACTTAGCTATTGACAAGGAAATTAGGCAGGTCTTTCTGTGTGTGGTGTAAACACTTTCTTAGGCATTTACTAGTGACATCTAAGAGAGAAATTCAAGGAGTGATTGTTAACTTTAAACAATAATGATTGTTATTTTTACTACTGCTATTATTATTTACAGAAGTGGGCTGCTATATCTTCAGGCTTCCATTTGTGTTTAATAATTAATAATTGGTTAGATAACTTCCGCTGCCTTGTTATTTGGTGCCCTATCCCATTCTGTGATGCAGGATAATTGTAGAGGAGAGAAAATGGGAAAAGATAAGTTAGTGGCAAATAAGAAACAAGGGCTTGGAGTCTTGTACAACACAAATTATATAATAAAATATATACTTAAGAAAGAATCCTCAAGACCTCAACAACAAGAGCTGTGTATGATATTACGATAACATTTCAGTCAAATACTATTATGAGGTTTAACTCAACACTTCTTATTGTGTTATGAACTTATGATTAGACATGTATCTACTCTCATTACAATGACTTACCTACAGATATAGGATTTATGACTTTTTTTCAAGTGTTTCTCTCTTCCTCAATTAAGGTGCATCAACAGAAAAGGCTTGCTATTAAATATCAATAGCCCATAAAGTAATTAACTAAATACTAATATGAGGCTTGAGTCAACAATTTTATTTTGGTTATGATTTTACACCATTCCACTCTTATTATAATGACTTAGCTATAGAATAGGGATTTATGATATTTTTTCCCTTTTCAAGTGTTATCTCCCTTCTTGGATGTAGTTGCATCCTTTTTCGATCAAATTATGAACTAGTGTCTTCATTACATATTGCACAATATTGACCAGAAAGACTAGTAGTAGTTTTGAATGATTAGTTGGTATAATTTGAATGTTCAGAATAGTATTTTTGTCTCTTTGTTTCGTATCTGGCTGAGTTACCTTGTAGCTTAATTATCCTTCTTTTGGGTGATGTGTTTGCAGATCACAAACTAGTATTTCATCCAGCCACGGCTGTACATTTATTTCCTCGACTACATATTCTAAGTTTCCCTTCAAGGATAATGGATTTGATATTCAGAAAGCTTCTCTTGCTGCTAGAGCTGTTGCTAGATCAGAATCAGGTGATAGTTTACAGCAGAAACCACTTTATGATGTAAACTTTAACAATAATGATCCAGGTTCAGCATTTGGAAAAATGTTCTCGATTGGTCATTCTGATCCGCTGAAAGATTTTCATCGTACTGCAAGTGAAGTGTATCTGCAAAGCCTTAGAGAATATATTGCTGAAAGAAAAGGTACATTAGGAGGTGGATGGAATGTGGAGTTCAAGTATTACCATGATAGATGCAAGACACATGCAGTATATATTGGCCCTGATGGAAGTAGTTTTGAGTCAGTGGCTGATGTTGCTTCTCATTTGGGGTTGCCATCAGTTGTTCATTCCATAGATGTAAGCAATGGATTTCCTTTAGCTCATGAAGAATCAAACAATATGCTAAGAAGAAAAGATGCACCAGGTCCTGTTCAATTCAAAAGCTGTAATCAAAACTTTAATGTTCCTGGGAGCAGTTTCCTTGAGAATAATGCCTCGCAAGCTATTCAGGTAGCTGTTCTTTAGTCTTTATATTTAGTTATAGTTCAACTAAATAAGAAACAAGACACTGCCAAAATGAACTTCCTTACAAGAACAACTTTCCAGTTGCCTTATTTGGATGTCTCAAAATGAACCTCTTATTTCCATAAAAAGAAAAATTTCAATAGTAAATCTCATAACTACCCTTACTTTTTACTCCCTCTGTCTCGCTAAGATTGTCCCTTCTTTCCTTTTCGGTCCGTCCCGCTAAGATTGTCTCATGCCAAATTTGGTAATCTTTGTGTGGTTCTAAATCATTCTTACTTGATTCTTATTTTATCAATTCAATATCATCCACATGAACCCACTTTTCTTAATAACCGCACCACCTCCTCATGTCCCAATGTTAGAAGAATGGAGGTAGTAGTTTTTGCTGGATTTGACATAAACTAGGGGTATAATTAAAAATTCAAAGCAAAACTTTATCTTGCATAAATGTGTGTAGGTCAAACTGGGAAGTTGTTTTTGGGACACTGGGAATATTCAGGTAACAACTAAATATTATACTTAGTAATAGTACAACTAAATAAGAAAAACCCAATATAAGTTTAACACGAAGTTCCTACCTCCATCCTGAGTTAGCTGGAAAGTTAATTTGATTTTAAGCTCCTTTAAGTACTGGTGAACTTATTTGATTTTACTGCAGGATGGTTTCCCAGTACAATTTGAAGATTTCTTGCTTATTTCGACGGGACATTTGGATTCAAAACCATCATACCATAGTAGTAATCAAATCTGGCCTGTGGGGTATAGATCTAGCTGGCATGACAAAATTTCTGGGTCAGTATTTGTTTGTGATGTTACAGATGGCGGTGATTCTGGCCCAAAATTTAGAGTTCGAAGGTATCCATGCGGCATGCATTCTTTCATCACTAGTTCTACGGTCCTCTCAAGATCACAGTCGAGGTCCTCCAGTGAGAATGACAAAATGGAGAAGGATGGTTTAACTATTTCTGGTGTGGTTTATGATGATGATAATGTTTCTATCCAGTTGATATTGGAAGACTGCGACCAGCCAGCCATGGATAACAATTATGATTCTTATACTGGGCAGAGAGAAGTGGAAGATTTGGCTTTGGGAAAACTGAATTCCATATTGCCAGAAAGCCTTAGAAACAAAACATTTGAGGCCATTGATCAAGGAGATAACCTAGGAGAATTTCATGTGGAAGGAACTTCATTGACCTCTGTATGGGAAATGGTCGCCCAGAATCTTGTACGCGCTAGCCATGAGGTGTATAAGCAAAAAGGGGCAGTTAGGTTCTGTTGTAGACACGATGTTTTTGAATTAGATGCGAAACGACTTGATGGGCTAGATTCATTATCCAAGTTTTCTTGCTTAACAGCACCTGGTAGCTTTCGTCAGGCAGTGCACAATGATAGTGAGTTTAACCAAATTCGTGAAATGCTAGTGAAGTGGCTTGAACAGGATAGATTTGGCCTAGATGCCGATTTTGTGCAGGAGATTCTAGAACAGCTTCCAGGCATTTCAAACTGTACGGGTTATAAGTTTTTGAGTGAAAGGAAGCACAATTCAACTCTTCAAACTGTTGGAAGTGGATTTTTTCAGTCCAGAAGGGAGAGTCATATGCAAGATGGTGGGGAACCAGATGAGTATTTCAGACCATCTAAAAGACTCAGAAAATTAGAAGAGTCTGAAGTGAGAGCACCCTGTCCTTCAGGCAAGCCATTTATGTCAAAGCTTCCATCATATTTGATAGGCGATGCTCTCCAGGTATGTGAAACCCTTGGCTTAACCATTTATGGAAGTTGCCTGTTTCTACATGCTTGGCAGTTCACTTTATTTTATTTTCTATTGAAACTCATTTTAGGTTTGGGATTTTTCACTGCGTTTTTCTGTGGTGTTGGGGCTGGAAGATCCCTTTTCTTTCCGGGAACTTGAAGATGAGCTATTGAGTCCTTGGCTAGATGGGATGAATCCATTTACGAATCATGAATCTGAAATGGTAGAATCTGGTGATGCTGCAGTATATGGTGGTACGGTGAAGTCTTCTCAAGCCAATGGGACTCATAGTCAAGACAGCAGATGTACCGGTCTAGTTCTGGCTAAAACTCACAGTTCTCTGCTAAATGTTTTAGTTAAGGATCTCCTCATGAAAGTTGCAGCGTATGTAGACCCTAACTTTGATGTTGGCGAATCTAAACCCAGAAGAGGTAGAAAGAAAGATGCTGATAATGTAGCCACTCTTAAGAAAGCTAAACTCGATATGTCTCCTGTAAATGAAATTACATGGCCTGAAATTGCTAGAAGATACATATTAGCTGTATTATCCATGGAGGGTAACCTTGACTCCACAGAAACTGCTTGCCGTGAGAGTGGAAAGATTTTTCATTGTTTACGTGGTGATGGTGGGACACTTTGTGGGTCTCTTATGGGAGTCGCTGCGCTTGAAGCAGATGCTGTGGTAAGACTGACTCGGTCCCTTTTTCTTTCTCCTCTTTAAATGATTTCTCCTGTTAGCTTGTTGCTTAATATCAAACTACGTGGAAGAGTAAATTTCTAATTAAATCTTTGGCATTATTTAGAACTAAATTTTGCTGCAAATATTCTAGGATAATATAGATTTTTAAGTGAAGAGAATTCTATCTTTATGTTATGCAATGTGAAATGTAGTTAAGGAATTTTCATTATAGGGGCACTGTAACGAGAAGGATTATCTTTTCTGCATATGCAATATTTATTTGATGCTGGTTAGTAGTCTGTCATGTGTTATACTGTTACATAGAGAGTAAAGAGGCAAGGGGATGAATATTCAAGAAAGGAGATTGATACGGATCTTGACCAGCAAAATCACAGGAGAATCAGGGATCAGGAAATAATTGAGTAATCAATCAAGAATTGCTAATATTAATCCCTAACTTTTGCCAATTGGATTCTTGATTGATTGCTCCTTTGTTTCGTGATATGCTGATTCTTTTGAGTTTGCTGATTAAGATCGTATCATTATTATGCATATTGTTAAAATGTTTTTGAGTGAATGTTGATTACTTGTAGCGTGTATTTGTGCGTGTAATTAATTAATGTCCAACTTGATAAGACTTATTAATACTGCTGACACATGTCTACTTTTGGATGCCCAAATATGGAGTAAGTTTTATTTCGTGATGCATTATTGATAATACTCCCTCCGTCCCATTTTGGTTGTCTTACTTTCCTTTTTAGATTGTCCCAAAATGAATGTCCTGTTTCCTTTTTTGGCAAGAAATATGTGGTCCATACCATTTCACTTTATTCTACTCAAATCTCAACCACAACTTTTACTTTTCAACCACTCTATTAATAATTGTGCTAAAGTAAAACAACACAGCCAATATGGGACGGAAGTAGTATTACATTACTCTTAACAAGTATTCAAATATCTTTATCTGACTGGTGTCAAAGTAGTGCTCTATAATTCTATTTCCTGATTCCTTACGACAACTAATTGACTTTATACATAGTTGCATTAATCTTTTAAAAACTAAATTACATGAAGTGAAAACACTTTAGATTTAGTGTCGTGTTACTTTTAACAAGTATTCAAATATCTTTATCTGACTGGTGTCAAAGTAGTGCTCTATAATTCTATTTCCTGATTCATTACCACAACTAATTGACTTTATACACAGTTGCATTAATCTTTGAAAAACTAAATCACATGAAGTGAAAACACTTTATATTTAGGGTCGTGTTACTCGTGTATAGTATCATTTATTTTCCCTAAGAATTTAGTTCATTTCTCTTCATTTTTAATGTTTAATACCTGTTTAGCTTTTATTTTGTCATTCTGCTGAGAATATGCATTTACTACTAGCTTTTGGCAAGGAAAATTTTTGGACTGCTTTTCTGTGGAACTCACTGATCATGAAATGTTTGTTTACCAATGAGGTTCTGATGCTTGTGACTCTCAGCTTCTTGCAGAGGCTAACAGGAAAGTTTATGGTTCAGCAAGGATTGGAAGTGATATTGTCAGCATGGATGGGAAAGACCCTGATGCGGCATGGACAAATGATGGTGAAGTTCCTGAATGGGCACTTGCGTTAGAACCAGTAAAAAAGCTGCCAACGAATGTTGGGGCTAGAATCAGGAAGTGTGTCAATGAGGCTTTAGATAGAACCCCCCCTGAATGGGCAAGAAAAATCTTGGAGCATTCAATCAGCAAGGAGGTTTACAAAGGAAATGCATCAGGCCCCACAAAGGTGATTTTTTGTCCTTTACTTGTTATTTATTTGGACTCGACATTGATGTTTTCAAAGGAAGAAACAATTAACTTCATTTCTCACCTCCCAAAAAGTATTATGTTAGCATGTCCGATATCATATTTGTTGAATTCCTTGAATGCAGAGAGCAGTTGTTTCCGTCCTGGAAAAATTAAACAATGAAGATATGCAACCCAAACCTGAGAAGACGGAAAAAGTGAAGAGTGTGAGCTCTCTATCTGATGTCATCATGAAACGATGTCAAATTGTATTGCGTCAAGCTGTTGCAGCAGATGAAGATAAAGTTTTCTGTAATCTATTGGGCCGAACAGTTCTAACAGCTAATGATAATGACGATGAGGGACGTCTTGGATATCCTGCGATGGTCTCTCGCCCATTGGACTTTAGGACAATTGATCTTAGACTGTCTGCTGGGTCTTATGGTGGATCATATGAAGCTTTTGTTGATGATGTTCGAGAGGTAAATAATTTCAAAAGAGAGTATCACATCAATCATTTGAAATTAGGTCTTTAGGAGATTGTGTTTAATTTTCATATCTTAAGATGATTCTTTTTGTAGTTTTCTTTCTTAAATATTGGATATTAGATGAAATGATGAAGTAGTGATAGCCATCCAACAATTTTTCTTTGTATTCTTTTTATTGCTGCCTCTGATGTTATTTAGTACATCCAGATGAGATGTCCTAGAATTTTACATTGTATTGGTGTGACCAATTACTCCCTTTAGTACATGAGCTGGTATTATTTTTCGGTCAACCATTTTTTTGCCCACATTTTAATGCTCATATGACCAGAATCCAGATAGGTTGTAAAATGAGTGTCACAGTGATGTGTGTGGGGTACAGTGAGTTTATTTTGTTGTGCTGTCATAATCCCTTACTGCAATCTCGTGTTTGAATCCTCTCTTAGGTTTGGAACAATATATGCACGGCATACGGTGATCAGTCTGACTTGATTGAATTGGCGGGAACCTTATCTCAGAAATTTGAGGAACTGTATGTGAAAGAGGTTAGGAGTAATATTCATATATAATGCTCCTTTTTATAGTTCCTGTATCAATGCAGAAACAATCTTTATTTTGATTTGGTAATCTATCCTTTTCTAGCATAATGCATAAGGGTGTTGGCATATGTCAGTGATACATCAAAGACGCGCTTCTTAGGTTAGACATTGTTTGCTTAATCATCAGTCGTACACTCGTACAGACATAGTGCCAATTGTAACCACTATACGATTTCTGGTGCGCTAATGTTGGACATGTGTTCTTTTTTATTTGGGGGGGGGGGGGGGAGGGGAGGACACCAGTCCTTTCCTAAGAGTCCGTTCCTAAGAGTATGTACTTTAAAGAAGCTAGTTTAAGTTACTTGTTATGCTGTCCTTGAAAAGATTTGAAAAAATGTAAAATTTTCATGATTGTCATAGAGTATCATATATAAGCTTACTTTATAGGCAACTGACATGCTGTGCTCTATATCTGTAAATCTACTACATCTTGATTAAACATATGCTATTATAGTCATCCGGCAAATCGGCAACCGGTGCTCTATATCTACATCTGATCTTTGCCTTGACTATTCCTTCATTAGGTTCTTTCCTTTGTGGAGATGAAGGACAACAATTGTTTAAAAAGTGAAGCTGAAAAAGAAAGTGATGATTTGGGTGAGTGTGTTGGTGAAAGCTCACTTCCTAAAGCCCCTTGGGATGATGGAATCTGCAAAGTTTGTGGCATGGATAAAGATGATGACAATGTTCTGCTGTGTGATACTTGTGATTCAGAGTACCATACATATTGCTTGAATCCTCCACTTGTCAGAATTCCTGAAGGAAATTGGTATTGCCCTTCTTGTGTTGCTAAAAAATCTGTTTGCCGAGGTTCCACCTATAATACTCAATATGATAGTCAGTGTCATAAAAAGAAACACAAAAAAGAATTTACTCATAAGCTTCTGGAGGCACTTAGCGAATTAGCAAAGGCCATGGAGTTGAAGGAGTATTGGGAACTTACGGTACAGGAGGTTAGTCATTCTATGTGTTCTACTGTATGTGTGTTATCCAACTTTACAAGAGAATATCTAAACAAACCCTGTTCAGTGTCCACAGTGATAACAGATCTTTACAAAATTTAGAATTCCCTTGCATTATGGCAGAGGGATATACACTTAATGCTTATGAATATTATTTTACTTGAACAATATGGGCCGTAATAAACATGCGGATTTTGGTAAATGCTTAATGCTTATGATTTTTATTTTACAGAATGAGGAATTGGGGATTCACGGTCTATACTTTATGCTCCAGAATTAAAACTAAACTTTATAGTGTTATGTGTGACTTTTCAAAAGTAAATTGTACAGCGTCTTAAGGTATTATTAAATATTTTTATATAAACCAATAATTATACTAGAATATGATAATTTATATGTACTGAAAAATATGATCTTTAGTAATTTACTAAAATATGATCTATAAAATACTCCATCTATCTTATTGTATAAGTCTTATTGTGTGATGGATATTTTTTATATTTATGCCACACTAGTATTACTCATGCGTTTTTTGCATAATTGTGTGATGAATGTTTTCTAACTTAATGCCGCACTAGTATTATTGTTATGACTTTTGTAACTAGTTATGCATTTTTGTCTTGATTATGCATTATATACATTTTGTTTTGTTTTATTTTTATAACCATCATTTTTTGTGAGAAAGTTATGCTTCGCTTAGCGCTATCGCTTTTAAGCAAAGCCCAAGCTCATCGCTTTTGGACGCTTTTCGCTTTAAAAAGTCTGGACATACCTCAGTAGGCTGCCACTTGTAAATTTTATGTAATAGGACACTAGTGTTTTGCCATTTCTCTGTAAAGTTTGATGTGTGCATAAACCTTTTCCTTTTTTGATGCAGAGAATTTTCTTAATGAAATTTTTGTGTGATGAGGCACTGAATTCACCCATTTTCCGTGACCACATTGATCAATGTGCCTCTCTGTATGCTGATTTGCAGCAGAAGTTACGGTCACTGAATTCTGAATTGAAGCTTTTGAAAGTAAGGGAGGATTTTTTCCTGGCAAACATGGCCAAAGTGAAAAATACTGTCCCTGGGCATGGTGGAGACACTTGGTCTAATGCATTCACTTCTGGTGTTGTTTCTGATGGTAAATTGAATGAGTTGATAGAAAACAGTAAAAAGCCACTCTCAAACTGTTTAAAAGACAACCTAGAGGGTACTTGTGCAATACATGTTGATCAACTTAAGTCTACTGATGGTTTAAATAATTTAAAGCATCAGCAGGCTGTGAAAGATAAATGTCAATTAGATACTTCTCATACACAGCATGGTAAAAAGATAGCCAGCTTGCAAGATGAGCTGGTGCAAGGTAGTTCTTGTAGTAATGTTGATTTTCAGCAGGAGTCACCAGAGAGCAGTTCCAATTCCTTGCCATCTACTGTGCAGGTCCTGCCTGACCACAATTCAACTGATTCCAATGGCAACTGTGTGAATCAGTCTTATAAGGCTGGTGATATCAGTTTATCTCAAGCGTTTAACATTCAACTTGCATCTCTGAAGGGTGAGATTCATTCATTGCAGGATTCAATTGCCTTGAAAGAAGCAGAGCTTCAGGATGTGTCTGTTAGAAAGGAGTTTTTGGGACGAGATTCTGAAGGCAGACCTTACTGGATTCTTGGCAGGGGTGATTCTTTCCTGCAGATAGTAGCAGCTAATGCAGGTGTGAGTTCACAGCAGGGGATGTCTCATAATTCTCATCATCCTCGTTTGGACAGTTCAAGACAGTCTAGTATTTTTTATTGGTATGCCCAGGGGGACAATACTGGGATCCCAAATTTCTGTCAATGGACAACTTACAAATCTGATCAGGAAATCATAGAACTTATGGAATGGCTCAGAGATGATGATGCAAGAGAGCGAGACTTGAAGGAGTCTATTTTACAGCGTGTGGGTTATAAGTCCAAGCAATCTTACTTCGTGGATAGTCTGGCCCTGAAGAAAAAAGATGCAAACACTCGTGACTCCTCCAAAGTAAGTAAAGTTTCTAACCCTAATTTTCCTGTCACCAAGGCTATGACTGTCTTGTCTAAAAAATATGGCTCTTGCAAAGAAATGGATGTAACTGAAGTCTGTAACGACCCAAGGTTTCCAGTTAATGTTCCTTGTAAGGATGGAATCTATAGATGTCTGTGCCTAGAGCCCTTGTGGGTTTCTCGTCCTCATTGTTACTCATGTCATGTAACATTTTCTAATTCTGACGAGCTAGAACAGCATGCCAGTGGCAAGTGCATGGCCAACTCACAAGTGCATGACCAGGTAGTAATCAAACATCCTTCCAAGCACAAAAAGTTGACAAAAAGTGAACCCTGTCAGGATAAGTCCTCAGGCTGTAATGGTATTATCAATCAAGCATCCAAGAGCACGAAGCCAACTAGTATTGGGGAACTTGAAAGTGAGAGACACAGTAGCGAGCCTGCTTCCGCTGAACATCAACTAGACCAATCAGATTGTGCATTTAGTTTTGAAGAAATCAAACGGAAATTCATTGTTCAAAGCTCTCTCAAGGAAGATGTGAAGAAAATAGGTCTGATTGGATCGAATGGTGTTCCGTCATTTATTCAGTTTAGGTCTACCTATCTGGATTATCCTGTCATTGGGTTGTTCTCTACTACAGAAAATGAGGTGTCTACAGAAATCACTGCACTTGTGGAAACTTGTGAAGAGAAATCAAATTCTGGGCCATGTATTCGTGACAATACCCACATCTTAGATAAAAATATGTCAGGGCATGCTGATAATGGGACAGTTAACAATGAACTGGAACTTGGGAGTGGAAGAAGATTCACATGGGTTAGTGAAGACAATCAACTATCGTCTGCCAATGTGAATGGCCAAGTACCAGGAATAAATAAGAGCTTTACTGTTCGTGAGTCTGCTAAAAGACCATTGGTAGGCAGGGATCTTGAGATTCTTAGCCGCTTAAAGATGAATTTGCTTGACATAGATGCTGCTCTACCTGAAGAAGCTCTGAGAGCATCAAGATCACACTCAGACAAAAGAGGCTACTGGAGTGCATTTGTAAAATCTGCAGCTACAGTCTATGAGGTGAGTTTCCATCTCCTATTCTCTCGACTTTTCTTAAAAGCACAAACTTCAGGTGTTTCAACTTTCAACTGGAATCAGTTCAGCGACTCATGGAAAGGAATACTACAAATAATTGCCCTTGTGATTTTTTTAGTATTTAGAATCTCTTGGCCATTTCCCCTTGGGCCTGTGGTTGATTGCCTCTTTCTCATGCCTTCAATTTTCTGTTGGACAAAGATTTCACAGGAGTTTTATCAACTACTAGATTGATGCACTCTTATTTCTCAGTTACTGAAATTCTTTTTTTATTGAATGATTTGCTATCGAGTCTTCATTATTCATTTAACATTACCCACTAACTCTATTCTTATAACCATTGTAAGTGTTATTTGTCAAAAAATCTTCATAAATTTCTCTGAATTGGAGTAAAAACAATTTGATATTCCAAAAAAGGAGCACTGTTTCCCCCTAAATTGGAGTAATTATTGCCATGCTCGGAACATATTGTCAATTATGGCACTAATACTGCCATGTTAATGCTTGGTAATGCCCAAATATGGCTGTATGGTTTCAGGATGACAATAATTTACTCACATTTCGAGAAATATCCCTTTTATTATAAAATTTTGAACACATAAAAGTTGTACGGTTCGTTTTTCATGTGACAAAGCCAGAAATGTTCAAAATAACTCCGGACTTTGTATTTCTAGTTGAACTGCAACTCTGAATATAGAAATACCTTTTGTTATTTGTGGCCACAATTTCATGCACTGAAGTGCTAAGTCTATACCTGTCCTTTTTGGGTGTTCCGCCATCTGTTACATTATTACTGAGAATTTTACTAAAATTGAGTTATGATCATTTCTCTCAGATGATTCAAGCGATGATCACACTGGAGGATGCACTAAAAACGGAATACTTGAGGAATGATTGGTGGTACTGGTCATCTCCTTCAGCTGCTGCCAAAATATCTACCCTGTCTGCCCTTGCTCTATGGTTATATGCCCTTGATTCAGCAGTCTTGTATGACAAACAGTTGTCCAATGAAGAGGCAGCAGAAGCTTCAAAGCCAGAACGTAAATCAGCAAAAGCAGCAGCACCTCACAACTCCAAATCAAGTACTCTAATTCAAAAGATGCTGGATTCAGATCCTGCTGAAACTTCAAAATCAAGAACTAGAGCAAGCAAGCGAAGAAAAGATTCGGGTGGTTGAAAAGAATGCATCTTTGCTGGATTAATCTTATGCTTGCCTGGATGTCGTGGTGTGTCACTTTCAAGAAGAGAGTGGAGGCCTGGGTACATTCAAGTGTTTTTCTCATGCAACACCATGGATTTGTAGGTGTGAAAAAAGTTTATACAAATTGGTGATCTGAAGGATAGTCAAAGCCTGCAATTGGAGGGAGTAGCTTAAGTCACGGCGCTTATATTATGATAAAATGGACCATTTTTGTGTCCTTGATAGCAATAGAACGATCAGTGACTGAATAGGTAAACCGTATCAACATGTACAAGCAAAGGTTTAGCAGTTGTAGGCTCGTAATGTATAGCAAATACAGGAAATGTCTCAATCTATACTCTCCCCTACTGAACAATGTAAAATTAGGTTGTGTCAGGATGTCAGATGTCTCCTTATGTTGTCCTTCATACTAGCCTGAAAATAAGAACTGCCTTTAAAGGGCTTGTTGTAATTGGTGTTTTTGGTGTATCTTCGATTTTGATTTGACTCGCTTTGCTTTCTTTAGTAACCCAACTGTTTGGTCGGACCTTGGGATTAGGGAACCAGGAACCGGTCTGGCCTGGAATATGTGAAACCATCAAACCTGTCTGTTTTTTTTGTTGAAATTTTTTTTGTGATGGAGAACCGTACCGAAATGTTTTTGGCTGAGCCGATATGCCTAGGAGTCAAATTAGGAAAATTTATTTTGAATAATATCAACCATCAGCCATAAATAATAATACATGCTTTTTGAATACTTTTTGAATATAGAACAAAATAATATGGATTCATTTTTTAGTAAGAAATTTAGTCATTTAATTACATAAATGATATTTGGAAATGTGATCATTTAATTGATATTTTGATATTAGTTTTTGATGAGACAAATGACTTTGTAGTGAAAATTGCTCGATATCACTTTTGATCTGTATTTAAATAGTTGGTATTATTTTTAATTCATAAAACTATAAAAGATAATGTGTACTCCTCCGCCCTGTTAGATTCTCTCATATTTCTCTTTTAGGTTGTCTTACTAAGAACCCGTTTGGTAACACGAAAATCGTCTGATTCGGCTGATTCAGCTGAAATTTATGAAGATCTGGCTGCATTGACTGGTTCTGCTGATTTAAGAAAAAACATTTATAACATATTTTATTAATAAAATAAAGAAAAAATTATACTCCTTTCGTCCCATTGGACTTTGCCAACTTTCCCTTTTTTGTTGTCCCAAAATTTTTTACCGCTTTCCTATTAAAGCAACTAATTTGTGGTTCTGCACATTTCTCTTTCCTCTGCACAAATCTCAACCACATAGTTTTTACTATTCTTATTTCTCACATACTTTGCACTTGGCAAAGTCTACCAGGACGGAGGTAGTATGTAAAAATAGCTAAAATGGTCATCTACAATAACTTCAGCCAATACAACCAGAAAAGTAACTTCAACCTTACTTTTTTCATTATTACACAATTCAGCGCGCGAAAACATAAGATACGTGTTTGGTGGAAAAGTTGGCTGATAAATCTGATAAGGCGAAAAACAGTATTACCAAACAACCTCTAAAATTGTCACATAACAATTTTGGTAATATTTGTGTGGTTCTAAATCATTTTTGCTTTATTTTCACTTTACCAATTCAATACTCATCATATAAATACAATTTTCTCCCCGCACGGGTAGCTAAGTTGGTTGAGTGTTGGGAAAATTGGAGTATTGACCAAGGATCAAACCCCGCAACGGCCGTGTGGAGATTACAACTCTTGTGTGCTGGACTGGACCTCTGGTGTGCATGAGTACAAGGTCTGTAACTATTGGGTTGACTAAGTCACAATGATTTACAACCTTCCAAATATCTTGTCGGGTCAGGGTTGGGGTCCCTTGGAGTTGGGAATTCAACCTTTGGAACATATATATACACAATTTTCTTGGTAATCGCATAACCACTTCTTGTACCAATGTTAAGGGGACATAAGTAGTATCCTATTGATAGACTCTAAGTCTAGAGAGAAGTGAGAGCTATAGAGAGAAGTAGTATATTTGCTTTGTATTAATGAATTCTGAACCCTTACAACTACTCCCAGAGGGAGTATTTATAGGAAAAATTAGGGCTGGGCTCCCAAGTCTTGGGCTTGGGAGGCCCATTTACCACAGGGCCACTAATGGGCCAGATACAAAGTACATAGAAAAGATTAAGTGTAAAGTCCTATTCTGGAGGCCATCTGTGGTCGATGAGGGCACGGCTGACGAGGGCGTGGCCGACGAAGACCCGTCCGACGAGGTCACCCGGCTCTTCCTGGCTTCTGGATCACAATCTGAGTAGCCTTCTTCTTGGCCGATGAGGGTCCCACCAGGTGGTCATGGTACCTTCTGTTCTTCCGAGTATGTGGGCCCTGGGGTCCAGGCCCATATACTCCATCAAGAGTCCCCCACTCTCTGAGCTGAGATGTAGACGAAGTGAGGGAGAGTAGATTTCCTGCTTCTGACGTTTTCTGGCCGTTGTGGGACCGATATGGAGATTTTCCTGCCTTGGCCGTTACGAGCACTCTTTGCTATGGGTTTTGTGTTTTGCGCCGTTACGGGCACCGTCATTGGCCGTTGTGGCCCTTGGTGTGTACGGAGAGCGTCGCTTGGTTTGGGGACGATGAGTGTCCCTTTGCGTGAGGGGCTGGTGAAGGCGATGTTTCTCTACTCCTGGCCGTTGATGATTGGACATTGTACCCGTGGCCAAGGAGGCTATTGTGGTCATTCTCCGTTCGAGGACGATGAGTGCCCTTCTTCCTCCGGGTAACCGGTGAAGGTGCTGCTTGCTTTATTTGGCCGATGTGGCTCTCATTCTGTGTCTTTGGCTGAAGAGTGATGGTCACAGCTTGGTGTCCATGTTTTGAGGACGATGAGTTCCCGTCTTAATTTTTTGGTCGAGAGTGGAGTATGCGGGCTCAAAGTCGTTGAGTGCGCTGTGATCTTAGGTGTTGCATCTTTGGAGGGAATTCTTTCTGCTTACTTTGCTGCGGCCGGTTATGGACGTTGTGGTGCATATCTGGTGTTGTAGTTGTGGACTTAGTATATTTTTGGATTTGTTTGACTTTGTCCTGATTTTCAAAGGCCGGTGTAGTCCCCCAGTCCCCCACTGCTTCAGGCCGAAGAGTAGGTGAGGGGTGAAGGAGTAAAGGATTTGCCTAGACCGAAGCGGACTCTTGCGTTCCCCTGAATCCAATTCCTTGGCGATTTTCTGACCAAGGTAACCCTGTGGGAGAACCCTTGGACGCAGGTCGCTTTCAAGAAATTATCATCAGGGTTTTGCACAAGGCCGATGGCGTGGCGTTTCTTTTTGCTTTTGCCGTTGTGGCCGTTGAAAGGGCCATGCAGTTGGCATTCCCCCAAGCCGATATGGGCATATCTTGAGATGTGACCTACCCTTTTGGAGTTATCTGTGTTGAGGCCGATGTAGGCGCGCTTTCTTAACGTGGCCGTTGAGTGGTTGGCCGTTGCGGGCGTTGCTTGTTGGTATGCTGGCGATGGGATGATACTGCGGAAGTGGGCCTGACCCGTCTTCTGACCCGGTGCCAGCCCAATGGGCCTTGGGAGTGGTGGCCATTCATGTGGCCACTGGAAGGTTGCCACGTGTAGTGACCGTTGGGGGGGGGGGGGGGGGAGGTCTATGAATACCCCCTCCCTCTGAAGAGGTTCCTCATTGCATTCCTAAGATAACGAAATGCTGTCAAATTTTCTAGAGAGAGAAAGCCTTTCCGTGTGTTCCTCCGATCTTCAAAACTTCAAAGGTCAGTTCGTTGAACTTTTCTCCAATTCCCTGTATACTTTGCTTCTTTTAGCCTTTGATCCGTTGTTAGTGAAAAAACGTCCTTAGATCCAAAGTAAGAACCTCTAGGCTTTAGTTAGTTGTTATGATGAAGCCCTTGGACGACGAGTACTACCCATATGATGATGAGCCCTCTGTTAAATCCCTTGACTACCGGGTGGTAGAGGAGTGTTGTGAGGAGATAGAGGAACTGTGCTCCTTCAAATCAGGGGAGCAAGAGGGGAGTGAAGGTGAGGACGAAGAGGCCACCTCGTCATCTGATGGTGAGGATGTAGTGGCTTCCCGTGCTGTGGACGGAGCGTCTACATCGGCTGCAATTCCTTGCCCGAAGCCGGTTTCGGCAGTGAAGGGAGCTGCCCCGACGAGAAGGCGTCGGCCGAAGAAGGGGCCAGGTTACTCCTACCTGGACCTTACGAACCTCTATCTGATCAAGCCGGAGAGCAGTGCGGCCGACTACTTGGTGACTCAGATGTACGTGGGGCCGTATGGGAGGGTTAGGGCGCCCAGGCCGACAGATCATGTGTTGAATCCACCTCCAGGGTATTTCTGAGTATACCCCATGAGTTTTGCAAAGGGACTTAGGTTTCCCCTCCACCCGTTCATTACAGAGTATCTGGACATGGTGGGTCTCCCTCCGACCTTGTTGACTCCGAACAGCTACTCACTCATCGTCAGCTTCCTCCTCCATTGCGATGAGTTAGACTTTAGGCCGACGACGGCTCTCTTCATGAACCTATACCAGATTGGCTGGGGGAGTCACAAGAATTGTGCCGGCTATGCCAATCTTCAACAGCTGCCGAAGAAGAGGAGTTTTACTGACCCCCCTTCGTCCATTCATGGTTGGAAGAGCAAGTTCGTCTTCGTATCGTTGGGTGAGGACGGCACGGAGTTTCCCTCAGTTGGCCATGACGGTAGGTTCAACCTTCACGATGTGCTGAAGAGCAGTATCTTGGATGCCCAGGTGGCGGCATTTCTGAAAGGGGGGGCGAGGAGCGTGAAAGATTACATCATGGAGTATAAGATGACCGCCCTCGGCTTCATGAGGTATTATGTGTACGGCGACAAGGAGAGTGATACGGAG